AACCACACCCCAGCTACTGCTTCCTTGCAACCAGCGGGATCGACCCGGTTGTTCGGTTATGGACTCCCAGGCCTGAGGTTCATCTTTCACACAAATTGCCCATTATGCATAAATGGTGATACTTATGTTACTTTATTAAATGTTCCCTGTAAATATTTTCTTTTAATTATAGATGGAATGTGAAAATGTTCGAATTGTGGAGGACATGGAGAGTGCTGCTCAAGCCAACCAGCGACGTATGAATGCTGATCCTTTGGAGGTTATGCTGCTTCACATGGGCTACCGCATCACAGGACTGCGAGGGGTGGGTCCAGACGGCTCAGACGATGAAAGCAGCTCAGATGGACAAGTGCAATGCCGACCAAGCTAAAAAAACTCTAGCAGCTCACAGACGTACACACAAAAGCACTGTTTGAAGCTCCTGTTTGATTTGTGAATTCCCTAAACCGACTAAATCATTGAGTGAAAGGTATGTCACATCTCTGCACTATGCATCATCCTCCCTCCTCCCTCGTCCCAAGAGAGGATGTGTCTGCAGTCCGCTGGGGAGTAATTAATTATGATGGTGTAGATTAACAGCCTTCTCAACAATGTATCTCACCAAAAACACCTCAGTTGCTCCCCTCAGCTTGAAGTGCACAAAGGGTGTGTGGAGAAGTGCCCCTACCCACATCACTCAGAGGGGGAGGAGTTCAGCACTTTTTATGTTTGCAAGATGCTCCTAAGGTGGCATCAGCAGTTGGTGACCTATTTTCAGGTCATAGCCATCTATCTGGCGCTCCATGTAGGATCAGGTAGGACTGACAAAGTTGACCGTGCGTGAATGCATTATCTCTGCTTTCGTGTTGAAGCTGAAAGTCTCAGTACTCACTGATCTCAGAAAGCCTGCAAAGTGCAAATCCAAATGATAATTTCCCTTCGTCACAGAAATGTAAATGTTGTCACCAAACGATATCAAGTGATTTTTGATATAACATTTAGTTAAACCTTGTTGTATAAGAGCAAATTGTTTTCTACCAAAGGTTATCATCACTTTTATTGCCAAGGATTTGTATTTACTTTGTTTCATCGTAACATAATTCTGGCTAATAGGGCTTGGTTGTACAGTGTTGAAATAAGCAACATGATAAATGTTTGTGAATCATTTTTACAAATTACATTTGTGTAAAACATAAGAATTATTAATGAAAAGCGGCATGAATATTTGGCAAAAATGCTTCTGTTGGTTGTGAGACACACAGATAATGGCATTTGACAACTGGTTTGTAAGTGTTTAATGTTTGGAGGTGATTAAGGGTTTCTGTTTTGCTTTGGCACAAACTATTTGAACTCAAAGGACAGAGAGCCACCCGTCCATCACTTGCCTTTGTACTGACTGGGTCTTTAAACATGCAACACTAGGCTTCCTCGTGTTTACTTTGTACTATTACATTTTCTTTGAGATTTCATGTCATAGTCTTTGTTGTAAACAAAGTAAAAATATATATTTAACACTGATGTTTCTCCTTCATCTTTAACTCTTGTTATTTAAAGCCCATGTGACAACTTTACTAATGCAACTCTAACTGGGGTGACATGATAAACTATAAGTACACGAACTTTATTTAATTCCACCCATTTGTCTGTGTCTATTTTGCGCTCAGATTCTGCTGACTCCTGTGTTACAAATGTGAACACAGTACATTATAGGCATAAGTGGTACAGGAGCATCTCTTGTCCTACATTGCGATAACGAGGTGACCCAACTTCCGCTGGAGATTACAGAGACTGGAGAGAGCTACGGAGTTGTGCGTTGAAGAAAAAATTACAAATAAAGTTAACAATATCAAATTCAAATAACCAATGTGTCTAATGTGAGTAATAATGTGAGAGGGAAAACATCTGTTTTACTGAGTTTTACTAAGTTAACAGGCTTGTTCTAAACTAAAATCGAAAGTGTTCCTTTAGGACAACATTGCCAAAACATGGACTACTGCCTTTATAACCATTTTTTTTTCCACCACCAGGATCTCTAATGTAATTACTGTATACACCGGTCATAGATGGCCACATCTACAGCCTAGCTACTATATATAAAAAAACTATAATGAAATCTATAATAAAAGTTATTATTATAGATCTATACTATACGGTCTATGCGCCTACCGTGCGTAAAATCCTTGCGTAATCGTGCGTCAGTCATCGCAGAGTGATGGCGGAGGTGGATGAATCGGACATGATGATGAACTACCACGGAGATTTCCTGAAAGGCGACAGAAAACACAATCGCTACCCTTATTGCATCGTCTGGACCCCCATCCCTATGCTATCGTAAGACGCTTTCTTATGGATGTTTTGGATGTGTTAGCTAAACGACTCGGTTTAAGCTGATTTACTATGGCCTATGCGTCGTAGATCACGTTAGCCATCGATGCATTTTGCGGTTGTAGCGTTGAGTTGTTGTTAGAAGTGTATTATTGTCTATAAAATGACCGTCCCATACTCTTGTGGTGCCTCCCTCAGGTGGGTGCTTCCCTTCATTGGTCACATGGGCATTTGCACGTCGACTGGAATAATCCGGGATTTTGCAGGGTCATATTATGTATCAGTGAGTATTTTATTGCACTGTATGGCCCCTATTTCAATTTCAAGTTCTATAGTAACAAGACAAAAAAAATCAAGTGCAAAATAACGTTTTATTAATATGGTTTTGCAGGAGGACAACATGGGGTTTGGAAAGCCAACTAAGTATGTTTATTATTATTTTACATAACATTTTGTTTTAACTAAATGGTCTAAAATTTGTAATTAAAATTATAGATACTGGAAGTTAGATGTAGATAAGGTCTGTGGAAACGGTGCTGCTACGTGGGATAAAGCTGTCCATGATGCATCAGAAGAATACAAATCTAGGCCGGTAAGAGCATAACAAACAAAATGAGCTGTCAAATACGGTTGAACAAATTATACCAAATAACAATTTTTTAAAATGTTGTTTTATTTATTTTTTTCCTCAAAGCACAATCTCTGCTTTGATAACTGTCATTCTCACGTAGCCATGGCTCTTAACCTGATGCGCTATGACAACAGCACATCCTGGAACATGGTGAATCTGTGTGCACTGTCACTGATTCATGGGAAACATGTAAGGTAAGGCAAGGCTATTTCTAATAGCATAATTCATACAGAAAATCAAAGTGCTTTACAGATTAGGAAAGACATTACAATTGTAATACAAAAAATAAAAACATAAATAAGCACCATAAAATGAATGTTAAAAGAGAAAAGTGCAGAATTAAAAAAAAAAAAATTCATATGCACAGTTTAACAGTTTTGAGCCTGGATTTAAATCTCGTCAGAGAAGAGGCCTGTCTCAGATCTCCAGGAAGACTGTTGCAGATTTTAGCTGTATAGAACTGCTCAACACAAGCTGCTTTAAAGTGTATTCTCTGAGCCACAGTTAGCCAGTGCAGATCAGACCTGAGCCCAGGACACATGTACTCGTACTTCCTGGTTCTAGTCAAGACTTGAGTAGCGGTGTTTTGGATGTACTGTCTTACAGCTCGTTTGGAGAGGCCAGTGAGCAGGCGTAACCTACTGATCTAACCTACTGGAAACATACGCATGGATAAGTCTCCCACACTGTACTGTCAGATACGATCTTGTTTTGTGCTCTGTAATCTTGGGAACTATCTTAAAAATTGGATCAAATGCAACCATACTTTTCAGCGAATTTAAACTCTCTATAAAATACACCTAGTTCAGAGAATCAAAACCAGTTGATCCATTTATGAATCACCCTTACTTTAGTCTTACTGGCAAGTAAGATACATTACAATACTATTTCAAGAACACCAATCCTATTACAAGAACAAAGTGTAATTTTCTTGAAGCTTAAGTCACTATGATTTTATCACACACAAATAATAGATTGCCAAAAGTCTGGCACATCATTGCAACTGGTTAAATCCACATGGCATTGACTAAAAACATAAGGGACACTGACAATGAACAGGAGCGAGGAGTGAGGAAACTAGACTGCATTTGACTGTATTTGAGCAGCATTAACTGAACACCACTGAATCATATATGACAATCTGTAAAGACTGGCAGACATATTGTTCATGTCAATTTTATTTCGTCATATTGCCCAGAGCGTCCTATAAGATACACTTTACTATAATTACTGTAGTCAAACAGGCTAAACACATCTTGATTGCAGATGTAGACAGTCTCCAGGATTGCATGGCTTCTACATGCAGAGGCATATGGCTGAGAGATTCCCCTCATTACTCTCTCTTGACCCACATAGAGAAAGCTGGCGTCACACTTTGTGCTGCCTCTGCACATATACTCCCACAGCACACGATTTTTAAAGGGAAGGTGAGCAGCATAATTCATCAATGACAGTAGTGCCAAACCCCCCCGTGTGGAGGTCACCCCTCTGCCGGGGCTCCCTGTGCTGGCTGCTGTAGAGGACAGTAGGACATAGGCAGGACGGGTGAGCCGGGCCCCCGAGGGAGACAAACCAGCCCACACCACTTATGTCCTTGTGTGTTCATATAGGCAGAGGGTATTCGAGGTGCCCATGACCACTCTAACATACATTCTCCTTTTTCTCCTTCAGCTGGGCTGCATTTTTCAAGACCTGGCTACCTTTCATCATGCTCAGTGGCGTCCTCACCACTTTTATCCTAACATTCAACTTGCACTAATGAGCACCATGACTCAAAGACTGTAATTATTGTTGATACATGCATTATTACAATACTGACAATGAAAATGTTTTGACTGTTTGTTTGACTGTATGTTTCATATATTGTTTACATACTGTGAAATATGTTCCTATTTTGATGTCAGCATTTTAATTTGATATTTGTTCACATTTCCATGATTACATGATTGTTTTAAAACCAGTTCTATATTCATAAACACACTGAAGAATGTGTTTGACATTGTGGCCAATGTACGCTCCCTTGATGATTCATTCAGAATTCATCATGTGTGGCAACTTGACTGGTTACCAAAGATGGGAATCATATGAGCGAGCCCATATGTAAATTACAGTATTGCTGTGTAAAATATGTTTACAAGTTAAGAATCAATATTAATTAAATAAATGCCTCCTAAAATGTTTAAGAATGGATTTGTACATTGTGTTGCATTGTAGGGCTATGAAATAATGTATTTATATTATGTGTTTGTTATTTGCTCATAAATATTATAATGATTTGTGTAAAACTAAGTTAGCTAATTTCTGCAATATGTGGTAGATGTCACACAGTGGCTGCGCTCGCCCTAATTGTCCTCTGTACCTTTAAGAGAACCACGCACCTCTTTCATCCAGGAGATTCTGCGTGATATGAACCACCATCAATTTAAGGGCTCCTTTATTCCCTGAGTGCAGCAGATGAGGAGAGACTGTTGCTAGAGAGCTCTTTTCTATATTAATTCATAGAAACTTGTAAACATTTTATTATTTAAATTGGTTTGTAAATAATGGACTAAATATGATTTTGTCTGATTTAAAGATGTATATTTTTGTGCTTTTTGTATTTTTGGGAATTCTACTATGTGGACCTGGTCAATGCCTAGAGTGTCCATTAGGCTGCGAGTGTTTTGCCCTCACGCGTGCAGTTAAATGTGTTTCAGCAGATCTATCAATATTGCCTCGAAATATTCCTGGATATGCAAGGACCATCATCATTACTGGGAATAATTTACAACGAATTGAGTCAGATTCATTCACAGAGCTGGACAATGTCACCAACATCATTTTAAACAATAATGGGTAATGTGGATTTTATTTTTATGCCTTCTTTCACAAAACTATAATTTGTATCTACTGTGAGTGGTGTTTATTCTATGCAGTTTACTAGGAGTGTATTATTTCTGTTTATGCCAAATATTTAACACTTACACTAAAATTGTTTTACCAGGATTTCCGAGATGGCATCCCACAGCTTCTCTGCCCTCATCAACCTCCGTTTTCTGGATCTCAGTGGGAACCAGCTGGCTCTGCTCCACCCAGAGGCTCTGAGCATCCCCGGCAGCCCCCTCCAAGAGCTCAACCTCAGCCGTGCTCTCTACAACACCAGCGCCTTGACCGACCTCACCACTGCCCTGAGATGGGGTGGCCTCAGGGGGCTCCTCCGACTTGACCTTTCAGGAAACAACTTGGCTCTGCTTCCACCTGGGATGTTCGCTCACCTGCCCAACCTGCAGCAGCTTTTCCTCAGGAGCAACTCCCTGGTGGCAGTCTACAGTGGCACCTTCTCGGGCATGAGCCATTTGGAGCTGCTAGACCTGGGGGACAATGCCTTCAGAACATTTCGAGAGGATGCACTGCAGGAGTTAGGGAAGCTTGGAGACAACCGGCTACTTCTTGGAGACAACCCGTACAGCTGCTCCTGTGAGATCCGTGCGTTTGTGTCCTGGCTGAATGACTCAAAAGCGGACATTGATGTGGAAAGTGTGAGGTGTGCTTCACCAAAGAAACTGCATGATGCCCGGCTCCGTGGTCTGGGGGTAGAAGCCATTGGCTGCGTTGCTCCTGTCCAAGGAGAGGTCACAGACTTGACCCTGCAAACATCCTATGTGTTTTTAGGGCTTGTGCTCGGGTTTGTGGGCATGGTCTTCCTCTTTGTGCTTTACCTCAACCGCAAAGGCATGAAAAAGTGGATCATTGAGATGAGAGATGCATGTCGGGATGTCCTGGAGGGATACCATTACAGATATGAGATTGACACAGATCCTCGGCGCACATCTGGCTCCATTTCTGCAGAGAGTGGGAGCACCAGAGTCCCGGGACACTTTGGTCTCTCACAGCAGATGCCCAGTGACACCTGTATTGACCAGGAGCCCACAGACCCACACGTCAAGAAAGTGACCAGCTCTCCAGCAGTGAACATCTGTAAACGTAACATTATGTGCTGATATAAATTGTGCATGTACAGCATTTTTTATGTAATCTGCAATGTATATAGCCAGAAAATGATGTTACCAGAAAGTTAAAATGTAGAATAAATTTAAATAATTGATTATTGCGTATTATTATTATTATTATTATTATTATTATTATTATTATATTTTATTTTTGTAGATCTATGTAGGAAGAATGTAATTCAGAGTAGGAAGTAGGAAATAGGAATAAATCAAAATGTTGTTTCAGCATCTTAAATATTATTACTAACGATTGCCACTTTAATGTGTAGGCCTAGCTTTAAGAGGACTATTGTATGGTTATAAAGGCACAAACAGCATACGTTTTTAAAGCAGTTATAATGTTATAATAGCCTCTGTATATACCTGATCTACTTAGTGGTTGCAAAACTGAGCCCCTCTTTACTACTGATGTATGTGCTCCAGGTGGCACTGCTGTTTCAATTCACAGTGTGATTAAGTGTCTCTGTACAGGGGAAATAGGGCAGTATGAAAGATATTGTTTGGAAACGCACCTGTTGGCATAGCAGCTGTGCACCTCCACTGTCTTTACCTATTTCATGTAAACTTTTGTATCTTTACAGAGCTTCGGTGAATAATAACTAATAAAATAGAGTATGAAATTATTATCTGCAGTCTTGTTTTAAATTTCTAAACCAAATACACCTTGAATCGCCTTTCTGTCCTCTGTTCGGAGAGAAACATCGGCCCAGCTCTTCTACGCCTGAGCACGCGCCGTGCTGTGGTGCTGCCTGACGTCACAGGGTGCTCACCTGTGGGTGGGTGTCTGATCCGCACAGAACACGGATTAGCTGTAGCCGCAGGTAAAAGCCAAACATTGGGAGACTCGCTTCACCGTCCGAGGAAGACAGTGAGCTCAAAGTGAACGGAGGCGAATGAAGGAGGTAAAAGTAACACGGCACAGACTCATTTGTACAAATTTGACTTTGGTGGAAGTAAACGCACCTGGAAAACCGTGGGCGGCGGACTAAATAGACTGCTTTTTCTTTTCGGGTTTGAAGCGCAGTCGAGGCTAGTTTTCTCTTGGAGACTTCCGCGGTTTGGCTGAGACGTTTTTGACAATAAAGGCGACGCACACTTTTCTCATATGCGGTAAGATAACCATTTGGTAGTAAAATGAAGACCGTGAAATGTGTAATGGCCATTGGCAACAGCTTTGTTTCTTTGCATAGTTGAATAACTGTAACCAAAGTTATGTTGGCACGATAAAAATTGACCAAAGTAGGCTATGTTTTCATCCGCCCCAAATCACTGCATTTGTTGACTTGTGTCAAAGCAGGTGGTTACACCTAAACAGTGGAATGATGGGTTTAAGAGACAGGCCTCTGTTGCAACACAATAATTCAAACCGTTTTCCTCCTTGTTGCAGGTCCCAGGCACTCTGAGCCATGCCTGGCCACAGTTCGGGGGTAGGCCACTACACAGGGGCTCCCCAGTCCTCCCGCCATCCCAAAAACAGCAGGCCAGACAAGCACCGGCACTCCCGCACCATCTCCAGGGAGAGTAGCCAGGAGTCCTATAAAGATCCCCATGGAGACTATCGCCATGACCACCACACTGACCACTCCCGACACTACGATGGCAAATATGGCCGCAGCAGTGGTCATCCACGAAATGGGACCGCCCGAGGATCAGAAACTATAGGATTCATCCCTGGGTCTGCAGACAATGCAGGCAGCAGTAGACATGCCTGTGGCTCGTGTGCCTCTGTGGGCTGGAGCAGCTGTAAGGCCCTCATCTGCTGTGTGTTGACTTGTGGCTTTTATGGGAGTCGTGAACCCTGCCTGCCTGTTAATGAGAGTTCTACTGACCACCCTAAACCCAACACAGAGTCCCACCCGCCTAATGGCATGGCTATTTCAAATCCCACTTGTGGCATGCCTTTGGAGAACAACAAGCCCAAACAGTCCAAGCTGCACACTTTTGACAGCTTCCGATACCCGGATGTGCACATAGCAGGGCAGAAGGTGAAGTACCCTGTTTCAGCATCAAAAAGGACCCGTGCTCCTGGCAAGGGTGAGAGCCAGCGGCCAGTGAGCAACACAAGCCTGTTCGATGAGTTTGACTTGGACAACCCAAGTGACACAGGCACAGACATAGACTCCCTCATTACCAAAAAGCTGCTAGAACTGTATGCCCTGCACCAAATTGACCAACTCGCCAAATGTACCTCTGACTCCTCGTTCTCCCGCAAAACCAATGAGATTAGTGAGCTCATCTACAGCATTGCACAGGATTATAATCTGGAAGAGCAGGAGGCTGAGTGCAAACTAGTGCACGGGGTCATTCGCATCAGCACACGAAAGGGCAAAAGGAACAAGAGCCAGCCATCCTCCTCGGGACAGCGTACAAATGGCCGGGTGGGACACGATGGCACCCTCCCAGACAGCGGCAACGAAACCATGACCAATACCTTCAGCAGCGACTGTAAGTGATTCATGAACACACACAAACACATACGCATAAGTAGCTATCTTTAGGCAGGTATTACTATTGAACCATGACAGTTTTTTGAACATTGAACATTTTTAACAATTTTCTTCTCTTTTGTTTGTTTGTTTATTTTTTTGTTAAATGTACATGTTCTGAGAGTATGGAGAGTATATGTTGTGCCTTTTTTTTAAATGTTCAAAATAAATTAACTCAAACAGTCGAAATTTTAGGCTTTTTTCCCATATCCAACAATAAATAAAATCCTTGTGTAACATATTTTGTATAACATATTTTGTTTTAGTTCAAGACTTGGTTCATAATTCTATAGATTTTTTTCTCAATAAATTGTCATAGTATTAAAAAAAATTTACAAGCTTTGCACTCACCTTTTCACCTTTTAGTTTTAGTTTCCTTTTTGAAGTTAATAAGTGCCATGATTTAGAAAAAACACTTTTGAGGTCAGTCAGTCTGGTCACAAAAATAATTCTAATTTAAAACCATCATTACTGTAATTGTCCCTGATATTCAACTGAAATATGCTAAATATATCTTCATATGATCTTTTAATGAGTCATCTTTTGTTCAGCTCATAGTTTTAGACCTATCAGTCTAAAATGACCCAATAGTGGTTGGATAAGGTTCAGGCAAGTTGGTACAAGTTTGTATTTGTCAAAACGTAGTGCCATAGTCCAGTGTACAGAAGGAATGGGGGCCCTTTTATTTAAAAATGTATTTTCTTAGGTTTGTCCTTATTTGATCTGTTTCTCTTCTCCACACAGTTCCAGAGGTGAAAGTGTCAGAGGAGACGCCATCGGACGAGCTGGCCAGGAAAATGCGGCATTACAGTGGGAAAAGTAAGTGGGGAATTTCCAGTAATTGCATACACTTGTCAGCCCTATATTTAACATTGAATAAAACTGTAACTAATGCAAATAAAACTAAATGTGCTCAATAAAACCTGTATTTAATAGGCTATGACATAAGGAAAATAATGTAAAGTTGTAGTTGAGCTCTACATACAAACTTTCTTCCGTCTCTGTGTGTGAAAGAACTATAGACTTAACAATTAGAGCTTGAATGGCTTAATGCTGGTGATTAGCGCCAAAACTCTGTAATGATTGGGCTTCTTGGGTTGCTCTGTGTATTTCCCCCGGTCATTGAGGTATAAATACCATCCTTGTGAGCAGGTGTCTTTTGTGTGCTGTTGTAGCTTGGGGCTTTTTCTCACCTCCTCCTCTGCTTTCCACTATGTCATAGCTCTCTTTTGCAGAGAAAGTCCTGCATTCCTGCCTTTTCTTTGCATATTCCCCTCCCTCGTTCATTAGTGGCCCTCTTCCCCTCGCCTGCCACCTTACACCCATCTATCAGTGCCCCTCGATTTCCCCCGCAGCCAGTGTGGTCATGCTACACCTCCTGCTTCACATCACATTAAATCCACACTATATAATGTCCTATTGGTTTTTATGTAATTTTACCAAACAAACTTGGGTTACGGATGGATTTCCAATGCTGCAGCCTCCTTCTTTGTTATTTTGTGCAGAGCTTGTTAAAAAGGGATGGTGTCTGCTTACATGTTTTGAATGAAGAGCCTGTCATTGTACTTCAATAACTTTTAAATAACGGCTTGGGAACTTGTAGAGTTCTGCTGCACCAGGCTTTGCAGTTCAAATGTTCAAAATGCATTCAGTATTTATATTTTGTCTCCATTGTCCCATGTGTAAAACCTGCAGATTGTTGTTGTTTTGTAAATATCCAATATTATAATACTGAGGAATCCTTTTTTTTAAAAGGCTGCAGAAAGTTCTGATTATAAATGATAAGACTTGCAGTGTTATTTTTAACTCTTACATTTATTTTTATCAAGATCCTTGAACTAGAACTACTACCATTTACTGCTACTGCTAAGTTTTACCACATTTTTGTTGCCAAGTCCGCTTCTGTTTTTTATTTTTTTGAAAGTTGGGAGAGAAATTACACATTTTATCTTTTTTTCTGTAAATGTTAATTTTGTTAAATATGTGCATCTCAGTTCTTGTTCAGTGGCAAATATCAAGGTTTAGTGCTAATACTAGTTTTGTCACTGCACTGACATCTAAGGTCACACTTGGTTTGAGCCCAGTTTAAACCTGAGGTAGACATTTTTTGGTCCTGTTCTACTTCTGATTTAGTTCTTGTCTTGCCAAAATTTAGTGTCGTATTTAGTACCAATTTTGCTGTGATGCATGTACAAGTGTGTACCATTTAATGTTATGTTTTTGTTTTTGTCTACAGCCTATTCCTCCAGCACTGCCACAGCCTACTCTCCATACTACCATGAGACAGATTCTTCAGGAGCGCCTTTGCTTCTCATCTAACTGTTACCAAGAACTGCACTTTTTGTTTCTGATGTTTTTTATGCTGGTTTTGCTATTGAGTGACTGTGGTTACACTATGGTCCTGTATCAATCCACAGATGACTGGCTAAAGATGTTTTACTTTAAAAGGAGAAAGCCAAAGTATATTTTTTAGTATTTTGTGCACCATGTTGTTTTCTGTAAAAGTAGACTACTTGACATACATTGAGTTGTCACTGTCAAACTAGAGGATTCGACTGATGGTAGAACCGTCCTCATTCTTGTCAGAGTGTCTGTTTATGTAAGCCATTGTTCAGGTACTGTATATGTGGACTATTGCCATTTACACTCCTTGTTTTTACTATGTGCTAGTAAAGCCATATTTTAAGTGTACAGATTGGAGCTATGTTACTCTTCGGGTTTTTACGCCTTTGTGCCACATGGCCACATTTTTATGGAGTGGTCAGTTATGTATTTTTTAAATAAACTTTTGATTATTGTTCACATGTTTTATTTTCCAGTGTGCTTGCATCTTTTTCCATAATTTTCTAACAAGCTTCTTAAAATCTACAATACAATTTAAGATATTGCATGTTTGATATAAAATTTGCTTTGAAATTAAAATCTTTCAGTCTGGATGTTTTTCTTAATCTTGTGCGTTATTGCCGTTGAGCTCATCTCCCTGAGGTCACTGTGTTACCAGGCAGGCTTTTTCCGCTTGCAGCAATGGAGGGAACCTGTTTGGCTGGTTCTGACAAAAAAAGGAAATAAAATCCAAGTGCTATCTTTGTCTTTTAATGCAAAGGAAAGATTAGGTTATTAAATGTTTTTGGACTGGCTGTATACATTGTTGTGTTTATCTGTAACGTTTGACTTGACTGGTAACTTAAACCACAGATCAATATGTAAATCATGCATTACTTCTTTATTATCATGATTTTATCTCAATTTACAGTGAAACATGAAGACAACTTAGCACAGATTGGTGTTGTGCAAACTTGCTGTTAATGCAAATTCTTTTTCAGTAAACGGTGCATGGGTTTGCCCTGTGTAACCCCATTTCCTCTGGCGCTGCCCCCGCCACCACATTCCTGTTTTACCTGTATGAGGTGTCATGTTAAGGCTGAATGTTTCACAACTGACATACCACAGGCTCGGGCCAATTCACTGCCACTTCTAAAAACACTGAAACTGCTTTTTACAGTAACCCAGAGTTTCATTTCAGTGTCACTCATTTCAACTGCACTGTATTCTGAATCTGGTCTCCATACAGGATAGTAATGTATTTATTCATGACACATTTAGGTTCAATTATTGTTGTAGGATATTCTCACAAAGTATAATGTTACCATCAGAGGGAGACAAAGCACTGAATAAAGAAACTACTGGAACATTAGGCAATTGACTATTTAAAAGGGTGTTGAGAACATCCATTCCCTAGGAAGCATTTTGGGGTTGAGTTCTAAATATAAAATGTATAGTAGGCCTACTTTATCAAAAATCACAGATTTCTTGTAGCTATACATCTACACACGTGTGACCTTAGGTTATTCATACCTGCTATGTTTTAAATATATTGTAAGTGTATAGTATGTGCTTTCGTAAACACGAGTCATCAGTAAGAAGCATTACAGTGTAGTAAAATATTCAGAAATTTGTCAAGGGAATATATCATTTTAAATAAATGTCAGAGTAAATACAAAAATATATTTATTTAAACAAATACACATTCAGGGTACAAAAATGTCACTGTACAAGAGTTACAGATGAAGTCATTTCTCAGATAAAGAAAGGTCTAAGACCTTGAGTCTATAGAGTCCTAGAAGAGCATATCCACCATGAGCTCCAGCAGGTCTGCGGGGCCAATCACAGGCCTGAAGAAGAGTTCGGTGAGGAAGCCTGGAGTGATGCTCTGCAGAGAAGAGGCTGTGAGCAGGATCTGAGCAAAGCGCCCCCTGTCCCTCGAGTGCAGCAGCTGCACGACTTCACTCAGCGCGTGCTGGGCCTCCTGCTGCAGCCCCTCTACAAACAGACCTGCTTTCAGGTCTGGGACATCTGTGGAATGCAACAGTTTGAGAAAACCTACACATATAAGGTTGGATAAGATATAGGCCTAATGTAGCTTAATCTTACCTGGGTTAAATATCGTAGTTCCTTTAAGGTATGCATATTCCTTTGGGCTCAAATCCAAGCTCCAGAACTTTTTCAAGCAGGACTTAAGTTTGCTGACCCCGGCCATAGTGGGCTGCTCCCTGTCAGTGTCAGGGACCTGCTGTCTGTTCAGGAGGATCTTCTTGAGCATGCTGTCGGCTGGTGTGTCCATTACTTCAAAGTCCACGTGCTCCTGAGCCAGGCCCAGAATGAAGAGAGGACCCCAGCAGTTCTTCAGCAGCAGGTACTGGTCTTTTGGGGGAAGCTGATTAAACGCGGGTAAATTCTTCATGAAGTGAACAGTTTTTACCAGTACAACAGAGGCTTCTTTGCAGACCTCAGACGGCCTTTTGAGTCCAACCGCTCGCCGCATTTCACAGGTACATCTGTGAGAGACTGAACTGTAGCTGTTTTCATGAGATCTGCTATGGTCCATTTCGCTGAGGATATTAAAAAGGATAGGATTAGAAAGCCTATCACAACTGCCTGAGCTGTGGCATCTGCAGTTCATTGTAATGCTGTACAGGTCCGTTAGGTGAATAGTTGTCCCGTCACAGCAGTGGCCTGTATTTATAAGGCCTCCCGCCCAGCCTACTGGACCTTGACTTGTCAATACACCAGAGTGAAAAACAACCATGTGCTCTGCCAGGTGACAGATGGAACAACCCTGGGAACGAGATAAGGTTTTCTCAATGAAAAGACACTGCTGGAGTAATGCTTGTATCGGAAGGGTGAGGCTTTATCTAGCAGTAAGTGCCATTAACCCAAGCCGTACCAAGCTACCAAGGACTCGGGGCTCGACCTCAGCTGCATCCGTGCACAATGCCAGCTCACACCTGGAAACCTGGAGAGAGGCCAAGGTGTACAGGGCAACGACCTACATGTTAAACCCATGTCATGTGTGTCAATTGTGGCTTTAAAAGGTATCAGCACTGTATTCTGTTCAATACAGGTGAGTCCACCTGAATTGTCTTACTTTATAGGAATCTTTATTCTGTCATATAATCTCGTTTATGACGATGGTTAAATTGGAGTTATAAAGTTACATTAGCTGAAATATATTCTTTTGCATGGCTAAGTGGATGTTGCAAACACAAGATGGTCAAATTTTAAGGAATTCCCATTTATGGTTCCTGTGCAATAGTACAGGTAGTCACCTGTATTAGTTCAATTAAGTTTGTTATCAGTTCTGTGCCAGGCACTGAGGGTTGACACCGATAAGAAGATTACTTTATTATTGAGCTAAGAAACAGACCTCAAAGATTGACATTTGTCTGCCAACCTATATTTCCTCCTTCTCCTTCATTTCATTATTGACACCTTTACATAAATTTATTAGTGATAAATGTAAATATAATGCATATTTTTCAACCCTTGTAACCTCTCTGACATGACAGAAAGGGGTAGCAGCAGTGAACAGTAGTACTGTGAAGTCAAGGTCACTCAATAAACTTAATGACAGTAATAAAATGATTATAGTCCAGACATGACTGGCAGCACCAGGCACAGAATGTTTGTCATATTTTCCCATTATCTTTAGAGCTGCGAACAACAGGTACTTTTAACACAGTTTTCTTCCATCCAAACACATCACAGGAGTCAACTGTGACATTATAATTAGACTTAGGTGTGATTAAAATTAAGACCTCAATATTTATTTATTCTTATAATGACAGTGGTTCTTAAAGTGGAGTCCAGGGACCACTGGGAGTCCATTGGCTTTATGTTGTGGGTCCTCCAAAGATTTTGATAATATGGATCATTACTTCTTATGATATACAGTCCCAAACATGTGATACATGTGATATGTTTTTGATGGAAAAAAATAAACCTTTCATCCATATGTGGACATAAATATAGTGCAAACTTAACATTTTATCATGATGCCATTGTAGAGAACGACGGGGGTTAGATAAATTAAATGTCATATTTTAATGTATAACATATGTATAACATTCCTATGTAGGAAAGCAGCCAAAGTGGTGCTCCTTCAAATCAAATATTTCAAATGTGAAGTCTCACAAGTCAGGCTCAAGAATGTGAGCATTACTGAACAATGACCTACAATGCACTCAAGAGCTTCTACAGCACACACACACACGGACAGTTGTAAATGCCTGTGATAAAACTTGTGTTTATAGAGGCTAGGAGCAGTCAGAGACGGGCACGGAGGACACACACTTATCTGAGCCAAGACTGTAAAAAAAAAAAAAACTCCTTTATACAATTGGATCAACTGCTGTCTCTGAATCCAAGAATGACAGACACATGAAGGGTGCAGTAACATGATGTAATGGTGCCACTAGAATTTCACTGAATTATACCATAGGGTGTAGTCTAAAATTTGACATGATGGTAAAAAGCACCATCACAGTTGTGCTGACAGACAGCACTCTGTACTTTAATCTATTTTTTGTTTTTAGTTGGTGTTTGGTTGTTACAAAGCCTTAAAACATAAATGTATGCAAAATTCAGACAGGCCCCTCACCTCAATTTTAACATCTGGACTGTTTACCTAAACTATTTATGAGAAATGGCCCATTTTTAATCTTTGGGAAGCTGGTTATGCTGTAAAGTAAGTGTTATTCTAATTAAATGCATCTAAAATTCTATTCTAGCAATACAGTTTCACACCTAAATTCACATGGACCTTTTGCCAGTTATTATCGATTTTTTCTACCACTTACTTTGGTTGTGAGGCCGTTGAACCCTCTGTGCTGTGCTCATGAGTGTGATGGACATGATGTGCCACCTGACACTTCACCTTCATCTGCAGTAGGTATATGGACCCACTCATGGACAAATGGATGTGTTTTAAACAGCCGGATACAACGTAATCTGAACAAAGTTCTAATAAAGTTCTGCTTGTCATCCAAGATGTGGCATTATAATACTCTTCCCACAATAAAGAGGTACAGGGCAGGTAAGAATTATATAGTAAAAATCCATATATTTGGACATACAATAGATTCATTATTTATGTATTTAATTTGTGATTTATGCCATGCTTCTCATGGTTATGTTTTATTTAATTATTAAAAAACTTTATTGTAATATAAAATAATGACTAATGCACAGTAGGCAATATTTTATGGAACGTGTAAAAGTGATGTCAGGGTTCAGACACAAGTCCTGCTTTATGACCTAGGCCCATTACTATCACAACACAATGATAAAATCGTAGGTGAAGGCCAAAGAAAGCATTAGCCTGGGGGTTAATGAACTTTAGCACAGTAGTGGTCAAAAAGTAGGCTACATTGTATTGTGAAGAGACTCGGTGTTTCACATATAGGCCTATGTACCCCATTATTAATTGTCTTCTATGGTGTGTATGGCGATCATGCATTTTAATTATTATTAGCCTAAATACAAAAACATAAGACTAGAAAGTTTGCATTTTATCTGCTCCCTGCACCATTTAATCATCACAATTTAGTTGCCCAAATATGGTCATTTTAAATTAAAAGCTGGGTGTATTTTGCAGCTGTTCAATAAAATAATATTATATCCTAACTTATACTATAAAAAGTAGGAAGAGGCTGGGTAAAATACAGGACACCGGATGTGACGTCAGATCGTTACAGCTGTAAACAAACATGGCGGAAGCTGAATTTGTGCCTCTCGCATATTTTGCGATCTGTAACATTCCCCCGGTATTTCGCTCCGCAGATCTGAGAAATTATTTTAGCCAATTTATAGAAAGTGGTGGTTTTAACTGTTTTCACTTTCGCCACCGTCCAGAAGTTCTTAAAGAGGCTGAAAAGCCCCCAAATGAGGACAGCGAGGCACCAAGCTCTGAGACCCCCGCTCCGAGTGAACGAACCCCGAACGATATCGACCAGAGGAAGACGGTGAAATCCTGTTGTTGTATTGTTTCTGTCCACCCTCCACATGCGGACAGATTTGTAAAGATGTATTCAGGAAATCACTGGATTGACTCAAAGGGAAATTGGATAACCAGACGCTGTGTTATCAAAAGAATCAGAGTTTCACAAGACAAAGGTAGCCATAATTGGTGTTATTAGTGTTATTTATAGATGCACTGTGTAACTTTTCTGGTGGAGGTTCTGCTACCTGCTTGTCTCTATGTCTTGAGGCATTACTGAGCATTGGGCAGGCCCTTCACCAGAAAAGTTACTGTTCTTGCTGTAATGTGCCAGTCAGAATCTTTGCTTTTTTCAAATTTTTTGGCAGGATGATCGTGGCTGCCAATTTTATTTCAAATTATATTGATTGACCACTTCTGTCATTCTGCCCTTGAGCAAATAGCCACAACATGAGCTGAGCCCATGTGTTACTGTTTCCTAACGTAACAAAAAACAAAACAAAAAGAAAATTGCATATCACATTCTTTTCTCTCATTTTCAGGTGAAAGGTCTTTTCCATATAAGACAAAATCTGAACAGCGTCGCCGTGTATCACTGTCGGAGCATTTCACAGAGAATGACCTCAAAACATTATCAGAATTAAATCCACCAGCTTTGATGCCAAATGGAAATGTAGGCACTCCAGTAACAGTTTTCCTCCAGCTCATTCAATCATGTCGCCTTCCTCCACGCCTCATAAAGAAGCTGGGTCTAGTTTTTCCCAAAACCAGCTCCAATCGTCGTTACGGGAATGTGCCATTTCAGTATCACAACACTTGCATTCTACCAGCCACAGAAGAAACTGTTTTAACAGCAGCAGGGCATGAAATATCAGGCTCAGGCACTTTAGCTCCTTCATTTTCACAGAGAAAGAAGCCAAATGATAGCACTCAGACAGAAAATGCAGAAGAACCAGAAACTAAAGAAGAAGACTCACAGTCTGATGCTGATGATGTAAGTGTGAAATATATTTTAGAAACCATATTTAAAAAAAAAAAAAAAATGTTGTATCTATTTACTTATTTAAATGATCACATGTAGGATGATGACTTTTGTGAAGAGTGGGAGCGCCATGAGGCTTTACATGAAGATGTAACCAGCCAGGAACGGACCAAAGAGAGGCTCTTTGAAGAAGAAATTGAGTTAAAGTGGGAAAAGGGGGGTCCTGGATTGGTGTTTTACACAGATGCTCAGTACTGGCAGGAGGAGGAAGGAGGTATGTTTGTCCTATTTTGTGCAACAAGTTAGATTAAATTATTTTGTTTAAGACTTAAAGAAGTATCTTTGATAACACAGTTTTTGACAAATATAAAATAATGAACACATTATTCACATTTCTTAGATTTTGATGAACAAACGGCAGATGACTGGGATGTTGACATGAGTGTTTACTACGATAAAGGTATCACATGTTCACAAATTAAAGTCTGCTTTTGCATTATACATTAATTTTGGTTACATTAATATTACAGATGGTGGTGACATGGACGCTCGTGATTTTGTCCGTATGCGATATGAAAAAAGACTGCGAGATGGTCTTGAAGATGGATCTGATCAAGGCCAATCTATTGGAAAATTTGAGAGGTTCACTAAGGTAGAATTATTAGATTAATCATAGGTTGAAAGCATGTGCCAACGATGTGGTGTAAAACATTATTATTGCAGGGCTTTGGACGGCGTTTGATGGAGAAGCAGGGTTGGAAGGATGGTGAAGGTTTAGGAAGCAGTCAAACTGGAATGCCTGAAGCCTTAGAAAATGAGGGCCAACATCCAAACTGCAAAAGAGGATTTGGGTAAAAAGCTTTTTTTATAGGCTACTGTGTATATTAATCAAATGTGTTGTAATAAAGGACTTTTTTGTAGGTATCACGGAGAGAAATTGCTATTGCATCCAACAAAAAAATCAAAACCAGACTTTCTCATAACCACAGTGTATGACAAGCCAAAAGACATTGATGGAGGGGATAGTTTGTTGCGTCGGCAACCTTCCACCAGCATGAAATACCGAGGTTGGCAGCCTGGGGGCAGTATAGGACCTAGAAGAGGACATGAAAATCTGAAATGAAAGAATTTTAATATTTTTAAACGAAAACGTTTAGATTAACAGTAATTTTAAAAAAAGTCCACTATAAAAGTACAAAACAAAAATGTTGTCTGTTGCATTTATTTTAACAATGTTCTTTTATTATTATAATTTATATATGTATATATAATTTATTTACAGATTTAAACAATTAACCCTCAGCATTGATTTTTCTCAAATGTATCTATAGTTTTGTATATATTTCTTGATTTACAGTAACATACAATAAATTATGAAAAAGTCTTGCTTTGTCGGGCTTGTTTTGTGACCCGGAAGTGCATCATTTAGCGTCGCTACAAGTTAAGCTAAAGTATTCCACGGCGGCATACGGTAAATGTTTTTATCACTACTCATACATACTCATACAAACTCACTAAGCCTGGGCTGTAAAAAATGGACAAAATCACAACAAATAGTTCAAGTAGCCATGCGTAAAGTAAGCGCAACGCTAAGTAATTTTGTCGTCGTGTCTTGGCATTAAACAGTTGATCAAAGTTACTCTATAAATGTGATGTTGCTGGTCTCAATATTTTAAAACACGTATCTGGAAATAAACAATGTCCACTCAGAAAGGGCCAAAGCCCTCCGTTCGCTTTGGTCAGGTAGTCATTGGACCACCAGGCTCTGGTAAAACAACTTATTGCCAAGGGATGCAGCAGTTTTTAACTGGTTTGGGACGAAAAGTGATCGTGGTGAACATGGACCCTGCGAACGAGGGTCTCCCGTACCCTTGTGAGGTGGACGTCTCTGAGCTGGTCACTCTGGACGATGTCATGGACGGTTTGAAACTTGGACCTAATGGAGGACTCCTGTACTGTATGGAGTATTTACAAGCAAACCTGGACTGGCTTGAAAAGAAGCTCAGTAAACACAGTGACTGTTATTTTCTATTTGATTGTCCTGGACAAGTAGAGCTATACACGCACCAAAGCTCTGTAAAAGATATATTCACACAGTTGGGCAAGTGGAATTTCAGGGTAAGTGTTTTAAAAATTTCATATATATTTATATATTATTTAATATTGAATGTTTGCTGTGGTATTTGTTGATTGCTTCTCTCCTGCTCAGTTGACAGCCGTGCATCTTGTGGACTCTCATTACTGCACTGACCCAGCCAAATTCATCTCTGTGCTCTGCACCTCTCTGTCCACCATGCTGCATGTGGAGCTTCCTCATGTCAACGTTCTCTCCAAAATGGACATAATTGAGCAATATGGCAAACTTGGTCGGTCTACATTTTTATTGTGCAAAATGTATAATTACTGGTTTCTTAACAGCACCATAATTTTTATATTGTTTTTACAGCATTCAATCTCGACTTCTATACAGAAGTTATGGACTTGTCATATCTTCTTGACCATCTTGCTTCAGACCCATTCTTTAAGAAATTTCGACATCTTAATGAGAAGTTGGCAGAAGTCATTCAAGACTACAGCCTGGTGTCTTTTGTACCTCTTAATGTACAGGTATCCTAGATAATTTTGTTTTCCTTTTTGTATATTTGTAAATGGACACATTCAGTGTACTATCAAGCTTGAAATTTGGAGCTTGTGGTCCTCAGTTCTTTTCTTGTTTTGGTTTTGCATTTAAAGGATAAAGAAAGCATGATTCAGGTCTTACGAGCAGTGGACAAGGCCAACGGCTACTGCTTTGGTGATTTGGAGGAGAGAAATCTGCAGGCCATGATGTCAGCAGCTGTGGGGGCAGACTTCCAGTTTGACTCGTATCCTTTCCTATTCACTCAAGTGACTCACTGTAGCATGCCTTATTGAAAGTAATGTCAATGTTTACAGGACCTGACTACAGTGTATCTACTATTTAGAGAAGTTAAAAGAACAATGCACTCTTAATTCCTTTAGACAATGTAAAATTGGAGAGGCCAGTATTTTCAAAATGTTCAAAGCAGCATAGTCACTTGAATGGTGATTTCATTTTCCTTAACCCTTCACCCTATAGGACACTTGGAGTGCAAGAGAGATATGTTGAAACCAGCAAAAAGAGTGTGGAAGAAGAAATGATGGAACTGTAAAATGTAATATTAAAAAAAAATGTAAAAACTGCCTCTGTCTTGCTTGATGTTGACATTATATATAATTCCTTGGGCAGTTTGTGTTTTCAGGGAACTTAAATCAGAATTGTATGTTAGAAAATCTTATAAACAATGATGACTTTGGCCAAGAACAAATCTCACCAATTCAGTATATCTTTTGCCCAGCAGATGGCACATGTGATAGCAATTTCTCCTCCCACGTCCACAGGATCTGCTCCGACTTTTGCAAGCTGCCAAAGCAGAAAAATTAAGTCAGGCGGGGAGAGGAAGCCACATTAAATCTGTGTTTCTGCACAACTGGCCCCGTGTCTGGTCTCTCAGATAGAAGCGTCTTTTTGAAAAGGCTTCGTTTCTATATGCTGTATTTGTGCCTGGACGAATCTGAATGTCCTGTTAATCAAAAAACAACCATTATTTAGTTATAACAAAACAAACATAAAAGTGTAGGCTATATATGCTACCAATGTAAAGCTTTCTCTGTGTGAATTTTTCATAGATCAAGCGTGATCTACTTTGAGAGCTCACAGTGGTGTGGAGAAATCATATTAACCCCATGGTGTATGTGGCAGTGAAATTATGCATAGACGCATTTGGAAGTCGCCTGGAAATGCATGCGCTCTTGAAGTAGGATTAGGGGGTGTGTCAGGCGGAATGTTAAATTGTGTTCCTATGTTTGTACATGTGATCAAGTATACCTTCTCACTGCTACTTCCTGTCTTTTTCCTTCATGCCCCCTAGAGGTATGTGTGTGCCTGTGTGTTACAACCTACATCAGGAAAACTATTTTTACAGTGTTGATGAGTGATTCAATAAACCACACTGTTTTGTATTCTAATCTATGCTATTCTAAACAGCAAATATTATAACTTAAACATGCCATTTTCAGCACAATTTCCCTGAATTTGTTGCAAGAGAATAGAAGTCAACCTAACACACACACACACTTCTCATTACCATCCACCCCTGCCTTTTGCTCTGCGCAACATTGTGGCAAAATGCCTGTTTTATTCGACTTAGATGATAAAACTGAATAAACAGGCTTGTTCCGCACTGTTTGAAGACTTTAAAAACTATTTTAAAATCCTATCTCTGTCACAAGATAAGGGTGGTTTTGTGTGCGCGTAGTTCAATGTTGCAGGGTGAGAGAGTGCTGAAGTCTGCGCCCATCCCCCCACACCGGAGTGCTTCTGCCGGAGTGAGAGACAGACAGCGCGGAGAGGGGGTGGCAGAGCAGAGCAGAGCAGAGCGGGCTGGGGAGGGAACAACAGGGAATGTGCATTGGTAGTCTCGTTTGCTGCAAGGCTTCCTCCTTCTGCTCTGGATAAGAAACAGCGCGTTGCCTTTGCTTGCCTTTATAACTATACTATTAGTTGAGATGAATTATTGAAAACACACAATGTTCAAGTTGTGGAATTGTATATACATTTGAAATAAATTTAATGTAAATGTCATGTCATGCCTTTTACTTTCGTAACGTTATAAAATGAAATACATTACAATGTTTTTAAAACCTGGGAATATGCCTACAAGTCCATTAAATTAGAATAAAAGATGCTGTTTGAGTAGTTAAAATCAGGTAGTTGTATTTTTACTTTTCTCAAGCTGTCATCTAGATAATATGTACATATTATAATAATATAAAACATATTATCCAAGGTGAAATTGTAGAATAGAACTATTATTACGCTAAATTGGATAATAGCTAAAATTATGTAGGTTTTAATTTTACTTTTTTTCTTATAAGAATGAAGAGAAACATAAACTATGATGAGGCTAAAACACAGCGTGAGAGTGGCTGACCCAGTTCGGTTCGCATAGGCCTGGTCCAGCCCGTGTTTCACAGCCCACCGTGCGGCTCAGTAAAATGGCTGTATGTAGCGAAGCCTCGTGTTGGTTGGGCTCGCTCCCTGCCTCTACCCGGGCTCACTAACACAACTCCCACAACAATTTCTGTCGCTCTTTACGCATTGTATGGAGCCTCCATCACTTCTTAAGCCCTAAACGGACCCGGAACCAGGGGATGGCGGCCGGATTTGGTCCGGTTTAAGGGGCGGGAATGAATCGACACAAGGATAAATGGTTATAAACAATTCTTTCTATTCAATGCTCGCTTTTGATTGTGAGTGACTCGCCGAGAGGGAGTGAGGTGGGGGGGTATATCATGGCCGCTCAGGTCGCCAGCGCCACCACTCTTAACACTAGCCCGCCTTCCGAGCTTAAAAGACCGGATCGAGAACCTAAAGAGGAGTCGGTACCGGGAGACAAGCAGTCGGATAAGAAACAGCCGGGTTTGGACAGCGGCTCACCGGGACGAGGAGATCTGCAGGACGCGGCCGACGGTGGAAATGCAGGGGGAGGAGGGGAACCTGAGATGAAGAACGGCAATGGGAACGCACCCAGAGCCAACAATAATAACCAGAATGACTCTATAGGACCAGAGGGAAATAACCATCCCGGTTTGGTACACCACCACGGTTCTGCTTTTCCGCCACCTTCGTACGGATACGGGCAGCACTACGGTCGGCCTTTTCATCAACATGGCGGACAACAAAGCCCTGGCATGGCAGCTGCTGCGGGTCCGGTCGCACAGCAAGGCAATATGATGGACCCTTATCAACCTAATTCCCACGAACATGGCTTTTCGAACCACCAGTACAATTACAGCCCATTCCCGAACAGGACTCCTTATCCGGGCCAGGCGTACGGCATGAACTCCCCGCGCAGTAACCAGGCGCCGACAGCTGGGGGACAGTCAGCTAAACAGCAGCCACCAGCGGGAGGACCCACTGCTATGGCAGGCTCTTATAATAACCAGAGATATAATATTGGAAACCCTCAGCCAACATCTACACCGACCCTTAATAAGCTACTAACTTCACCCAGCTCAACGCGGGGTTATCCGAACTATCCCTCCAGCGACTACGGTAGCCAAGAAGGCGCTAGTAAGGGACCAGACATGGGCAGTAGCGCTCAGTACGGAGGGAGCAATACGGGCTGGCAACAAAGAAGCCATCACCCGTCACCTATGAGCCCTGGAAGTGCAGGGCAGCCACTAAGTAGAAACCAGGTAAAGTCACACAATTACACGGGTTTGTGGGCTTTTGCCAGTTCTTCCTTCTCTTAGCCGCTACATAACGTTGTAGGCCAGCCATTGTCTGATACTAGTTCGCAAAGACTCTAAAATGGCTGCCTCTCGTGTGTGTTTTCCTTTACAACAAACTATCTAAAATGTGCTGTTTTAAGGTGTCAGCTGTGGTAGATGGTGATATTTTGACAAAATACAACGATGGTAACGTTGTTAAAGCATCAGGGAAGCTGAGAAGGCCCGACTTTGAAAAGGGGCAATAATGCAAATCGTTAAGCAAGAGCTAGCTTTCCGTCTCGTAACCTGCGATATTGCTGAACCCCAAATGCATTTTCTCAAAATTGGTTGGTGAGTAATGTTTCGACAAGTGTAGAATCTTATTAAGTAAACTACTGGATGAAGGTTATTGCCTCCTTTTTATGTTTACCTTCGGCCTGTTTATGATAAGCGATCTTTTGGAATGTGTTGCTAATCAAGTTATTGTTAATAAAGGTTGTTAGTGTTTTGTTGAGGGTCTTGTGAAGTATTGTAATATGTTTTCAACGTGTTTGTAGTCTGTATTTTCTTTTGATCTTGAGCGGCATTTCCGTCTCCGAGCGGCTGATAAACAGCGCTGTAGATGAGTGACTGCAGAGCGCAGTTTGCTCTGGGATTTGAATTGTGGAGGTAAAATCCTGCTGTCAAAGCCAGGAGGTAGTTGGTCTTGAGTTGACATGCTAGCTCAAATCTGATTGGCTCCTCAGCCCCTGCTCATGGCCATTTATAATTACATGTGATGCGGGCAACTGGTGATAACAGTAGCACACAACATTAACTCATCACGGGGTCATAAAAGGTAGCTGAAATATGCATACTCTCACATATATTCTTTTACTGTTGAGATGGTAGAATATCATAAAAATGCATTATTGCACATATGATATTGTGTTTTCTGCAAGCCTGTATCTGTCCTTGATGTTGAGGGACAGCTCAACATCTCTGGTACCCTATTTAGGAGATTACTTGTTCTTACTGCTGTGTAACATTTAAACAACTCCCCATCTTCCTCTCAAGTCAGTTGCTATAAGCCTATCTTCAGGTTTCTTGGCCATGGGAGTTTAGTTTTCTCTGTCTTATGCAGATTAGCCATGTGCCGCCCTTATTTATTTGGCTTCATTGGATCACATAGGTCATCTGATCTCTTGGCAGAAGAGTTGTTGAGTACAAGTCATCAGCAGTACAACAGTGATTCTTTTTAATCTATGTATTTGGATAACATGCCTCTTTGGTCTCTAGTTTAGAAAAAGATAATATGAAGGTTGAACTTGTACTGCCTGTACTGTTCATAGTTTGTATCTTTTTTTGTTGTCAGTGTTACATTTTATTCCTGATGTCATTCATTCAGAGCCAAACAGACTTCTAGGGGGAAAAGGCACTTGGATCTGACCCCAAACAGAAGCACAGCTGGTATTTATTTAAGTTCAGACAAAGTTTGAAATGTATTTCTGTAACCACTGAACTCTGCAAAATTTAGTAATGACCGTGGGAAGTCCTTTTGTGGCAGTGTGGACACATGTCAATAGTTTTCATTTTCATCTACTAAAGTTGTATTTTTCTGTCTTCTTGTCCAGCCAACTGGTCCCATGGACCCAATGGGAAAGATGAGGGGACAACCCTATGGAGCAGGAAGTCCGTATGGGCAGCAATCTCAACAAGGGGCTCCTGCAGGCCCCCAGCAGGGCCCAGGTTACACTAGCCAGGGGTACGGCCCTCCTGGACCCCAAAGATATCCACTAGGAATGCAAGGACGTTCCCCGGGAAGCATGGGAAGCATGCCTTATGGCCAGGTACTTTTCCCTAGTTTTTGTTTCTTTTTGAGTGCATAAACTTCTAAGTTGTTATTCATGTTATTATTTTTTCAGATGGGATCCTATGGACAGCAGGGTCCAGGAGGCTATGGCTCTCAAAGCCAGACACCTTATTATGGCCAGCCTGGCCAAAGTCCTCACTCACAACAAAGTCCCTATTCCCAGCCCCAACCAGGGCAGACCGGAGGCCAGGCCTCTTACCCAGGGCAGCAACACCCTCCAGCGTCTGGCCCTCACACACAGGGAGGGCCACCCTATCAGCAGCAGCACATGCCCCCTCAGACACAGGGGCCACTGCCAGGCCCACCACAGGGACCCCCACAGTCTCAGCCTCCTTATTCCCAACCACCTGCCCCTCAGTCCGGCCATTCGCCCTATGCTCCACAGCAGGGACCTCCAGGCCAAAGCCAACCACAGACTTCACCAGCTCCTCCTGGATCACAGTCCAACTACCCGGGGTCCAGCGCGGGCTCCCAGCCGCCCTCCTCACAGCAACAGCAGGTCCAATCTCAGCCGTCTCATCCACAGAACCAGTCTGCCTACCCCCAGGGTCCGCCATCTCAGCAGCAAGCACAACAGTCACCTTATCAGCGGTTTCCTCCTCAGCAGCAGGTACTGGCCTCAGTAGACATTTTTTTTAAACACCTTTTTCTGTAGACTACATTTTTCCTACAGGTGCACTTAAGCATGTCTTATATTGCCTTTTAGGAGGTATCCCAGGACTCATTTCAGTCTAATGTTCCTCCATCTTCTCAACCTAAATCTGGCACTGATGACGGCCAAGGCCGTCCATCCAGCCTTCCAGTAAGTTTTACTGGAATATTGCATGTGGAGGAATTAAACCTCTGTCCCCGTGGCTTTGACCTGTGTGTTTATTTGTTTACTAACCAAAGTGAAGAAGCAAAGGGGAAGTTAAATCTGAACGCAGTACTGCTGTTAACTGCTGATGCAGCTTAATAGATTTTTTGTGAAGGACAAAGGCCTTGGGGCTGTTTATAATATGTACATATGTTCTAGTTCTGTCCAGATTTAGTTACAACCACGTTGGTGGTTCCGTGAAAAAATAGCAGTATTAAATTAGAAATGTTTTTGGTCATTTTTGCCTCTCACTTTTGGAAGCTTTCTACTTTTATTCATTCATTCACATTTGTGTTTGTTATTTTAGGACCTGTCAGGGTCCATCGATGACCTGCCCACAGGGACAGAGGGAGCCCTGAGTCCTGGCGTGAGCACCTCAGGAGTGTCGAGTAGCCAAGGAGAGCAAAGCAACCCCGCCCAGTCGCCTTTCTCTCCACACACATCACCCCATCTCCCAGGCATCCGAGGGCCTTCACCTTCCCCTGCTGGCTCTCCCGCTAGTGCCAGCACACCACGAACAGGGCCACTGTCACCTGCCAACATGCCAGGTGGGTCAAGCATTGCATTGTGAAATGATGTGTTTCTTTTAAATATTGTCTAGAGGTGGTCTTCTATAGATGTATTGTAGTTTTGGGAAATGGTCTGAATGCCCATAATTTTAAAATTTGTTTAGTAGGACCCAGTTTCATTAATCAGATCATTATTCCTTACTATATTGTCATTTCAGGCACTCAGATGCCTCCAAGGCCATCCAGTGGGCAATCGGATGGAAGCTTACATCCAGCTATGAGCCAGTCTCCCATGGCCCAGGACAGAGGTATCTTTTTCATTTGATTACGATTCAGTTGACTACATGTTGCACTTTGTACACACACACCAGACTCATTACTATTCTTGTCTGTGTCCCATTGAAGGTTTTATGCAGAGAAACCCTCAGATGCCACCTTATGGCTCCCCTCAGTCAGCTTCTGCATTGTCGCCTCGACAGTCATCTGGAGGGCAGATGCATCATGGAATGGGTCCATATCAGCAGAACAATTCTATGGGCGGTTATGGACAACCTGGAGGACAGTATGGCCCACAAGGTTTGCACTTCAGTCTGTATAACAGTCTGTATTCTGGTCTTAGAATTGTGTGGCATGTTGTAGTAATCTTTCTGGTAAATCTTTGTATGCAAGATGTACAATGGGCTGAAATATATTGTTAACTTCTCCAGTGGAGTCTAGTGTATCTTCATACCATGCTGTTGCTGGTTCCTCTCTGACTATTCTGTTGCAGCTATTTATAGCCACGAAGCAGAGAGTCAGCTGACGTAGCACAGCCTTCTGTCAGGGCCTATGACGAAAGCTTGTTGCTTTGAGTTTTGAACTGCTACTTAAATTTTAGTAATACATGTTTTTAAAAAGTAAAGACACATAATTTTAAGTAACTGCTTTCTGTTCACAAAGTATTATTGAATGACACCAGGAAAAAACTATTCACTCAATCTAACTAATATAAACACTTTTATTAGTACATACATTTTGTAAGTAGAGCCATTCATTGAAATGTCCCAGTATTGTATGTTGCAGGACCTTAAAGTGATTCAGTAATATTACATTGGTTTAATATTTCACTTTGGTACCAGTTGCATAGTAGTTCAATAGACAATCCTATAACTACTTGGGAAAAGTCAGAAAGGAAGGGTTTTACTTTATTTTTCAATTGAGTATATACAGTAGTTTCTACATTTTGTTTAATTAAATTAGTATTGACTAGTATCTGGGCATCTTTTTGGACAACTCTATTTTTTATATTGTTTGACTTAAATAATAAAGGCATCAAACCTTCTGTTTGTATTCAAGGTTATCCGCGGCAGCCTGGTTATATGCCCAATGCCAACTACCCAGGACCTGGAATGGGCCCAATGAACCCCATGGCTGGACAAGGTGGAGGCCCCCCTTATGGCAGCATGCCTCCAGGAAGAATGCCTCCAAATCAAATGGGAGCAAGACCTTACGGCCCCAATATGGCTCCCAACATGAACCCCAATATGCCTCCGAACATGGGCAACATGTCGCATCAGGTAGGCGCAGGAATGTGTCCACCTCCAGGCATGAACCGAAAGCCCCAGGACCCAGCCACCATGCAACATCCTGGCACCAACTCCATGCACAACAGGTTGGTGTATTAGCTGTTTTTATTCTTTTAATTTACTGACTCTCAGGTGGGAAAGGGGCTAGTAATCCTGTATCAACTATAATAAAACTGATGATTTATAGTAGCCACAATGTCCAGGATTATTTCATGTTGACGACTCAGTTAAACACTACACAATTTAATGTTGTGATGTCACAGCAAACACAGCAGTTGTGTAAAAATATACCTGAAGGAGACAAGTCTCACCTTTCAAACTCTTAATTCAGGATGCCTGGATACCCCAACATGTCTCAAGGGATGATGGGGTCTGGTCCCCCCTACGGTCCTGCCATGAACAACATGCCGGGAATGATGAATGCTCAAGGAGGATCGCCTTATTCCATGGGCCCTAACATGGCCAATAATTCAGGTGGTAAGTTATGCTTTTTTCTGTATATTGGTGTACTTTACAATGCTATAATCATTCATTTAAATAAAAATTTATATTGAAAAGAAGAAAGCCAGGAGTACTTTATATTCTTTTATGAATTAGAACTTGTAATAATTTTGAATCCCCCCAAAAAATCCAAAATCAATTTCATTAAAGTTGCAATATTGACCTTGTTACACCACCATAATATTATTCTATGGGGTACTGTGATTTGTGGTAATTTTTTGTCAACATACACTTGTGTTAAGTATTTTTTTAATGCACTCTAGGTATGGCACCAAGTCCTGAGATGAACAACAAAATGAACAACAAAGTAGATGGGAGTGGAACACCAAAACCAGAGTCCAAGTCAAAGGTAATGTGACCTGACAGTAATACTTAATTGATATGATTTCAAGATATTATAAAGACTTGATGGGTGTTTTCTCTTTTATTTTAAACAGAAATCAAATTCATCAACCACAACTTCAGACAAGATAACACGACTCTATGAGCTTGGACCAGAACCAGATAGAAAAATGTGGGTTGACCGTTACCTGTCCTTCATTGAAGAAAAGGCGATGGGCATGACAAACTTGCCAGCTGTTGGACGCAAACCATTGGACCTCTTTCGATTGTACATGTCGGTTAAGGAGATTGGAGGCATGACACAGGTAAATACATTGTTAACCTTCATTAAGTAAAAAAAAAAAGTCCTGATTATTCAAGTAACTGGTAATTATACTTCATTCAGGTTAACAAGAATAAAAAGTGGCGTGATCTGGCAACTTCTTTGAATGTGGGAACATCGAGTAGCGCTGCGAGTTCTTTGAAAAAACAGTACATCCAATGTCTGTATGCCTTTGAATGCAAAATTGAACGTGGAGAAGATCCGCCTCCTGAGGTTTTTGCAGACAACAAAAAGAACCAAACTCCTAAAGTCCAACCTCCTTCTCCAGGTATGAGGGTTTTTTTTTTTAGCCACTCTGTATGATTTATACTGTAATCTGTATGCTCACCTGCAGTACTCCAATCCAATTTAACATACTAAAATCATCTATCACACTTTTCTGCCCCCTTTCTTTATTTCGAACTGAAGCGTCCCTCTGCTCCACAGCTGGGTCAGGGTCTCTTCAGGGTCCTCAGACACCCCAGTCCACCAGCAGCTCCATGGCAGAGGGTGGAGACTTAAAGCCCCCCACGCCGGCCTCCACTCCTCACTCACAGATGCCTCCAATGCCAACTGGGCCAAGGTGGGTCATTTGGAGAACATGCTGTAGGAAAATGTAATCTGTTGAATGAATGGGGTAAAATGTGCTTTCTATTCTAGTTTGTAATTAATCCAATAACCCTTCTATTTGTTTTTACTTGTGTTTTAGGAGCAGTGTTAACCTGCAAGACCCTTTCTCTGACAGTAGTGACCCTGCTTTCCCACGAAGGAACATGACCCCCAACTCAGCCTATCAGTCTGGTATGGGCAATCCAGACATGCCAGGGCGTATGGGGTCCTACGAGCCTAACAAAGATCCCTTCAGTAATATGCGGAAAGGTGCATTTAAAATATTTTATAACAAGATGCTACATTATTTGTTTGTTCAGCTACTCATGTGTTTTGTCCGTTTGTGTATGATTCAGTTGGTGAGCAGTTTCTACCTGCGAACCAGGGCCCTAACAGTGAGACCCCACAGCAGCCACCACAGCAGCAGCCTCCATACAGAGGAACACCTGGGGCAATGAGCTCCATGCCAATGGGACCCAGACCACAGTACCCGTACGGACCTGGCTATGACAGGAGGTGAGATTTGTTTTATTTTACTACAATCAAGTGTTTATTTTTGTCATTTAACATTTTGTCAAAACTATAACTATAACTAACAAAAATCTTTGTGTCACAGACCAGAGCAAGGAATGGGCCCAGAGGGCAACATGGGATCCAGTGCACCGCAGCCAAGCTCCATGATGCCTGCCAATGCCGACACAGGGATGTATTCGCCAAATCGCTTCCCACCCCAGCAGCCACGGTTAGTTATCAATGAGTCATTTTTTAGGGCTGTAATTCAACAAATTAGAACAACAAATTGAATGCAAATTTGACCGAATTGTTATATGAATTGTAACAAATGACTGTTGATTATTAATCTGAATTAATTGCAAAATTGCTTGACCTAGGCAGACACTTTCAGAGTCTGGAAGAAGGGGTTTCAGTTGAATTTGAATTGTTTAACCTTGACGTTAAATAGTAAATTTTGCCGTTACAAAACTTTGAGTTTTATCAATTGATGTCTTTATTTTATTTTAAAGCAAAACTGTAACACGCCAGTTTCGCCCACCCATTTTTATTTATGTGCCCTTAACACTATATGATTTTAACATTTTGACAACCTTATACTATTGTTAATACATTTTATGCAGCAGAAGATGCATTATGATGCGTTTATATTTATTGCTAGTGTTATGCTGTTCAAACAGATGAACTTTGTGGCTTCATGTGAGATGTGACTGAAATTGACCTTTAATCAGTTTTGAAGTGTAGTACAACAAATAATATATATTTGTTTTACGTAGTTTTTTTTCTTGAGGGTGATGATACAAAATGGATTTCTAGTTGCACTAATGAAATCACATATTTGCAGGCATGATTCCTATGCTAATCAATATCCTGGACAAGGAACGCCCCCTAGTGGCTCATATCCTAATCAGCAGCCAGGAATGTACCCACAACAACAGGTGACTTTCTGAACTTTTGTTGTTGTGTTGTCAACTTCTTAATATGAATGACTAAATTTTGTAACTTATGTTTCCATAGAACTACAAGCGTCCTGTTGAAGGTGGCTACCCTCCATCAAAGCGTCACGAAGCAGACTATAGTGCACCCTACCCCAGCGGACAGCAGCCACCACAGCAACAGTCAGGAGGCACAGCTGCCCCCTCTTCAGGACAGCAGGAGCCTTACAATCAGTATGGTGGCAGTGGACCTTACCCAGGCTCTGATCGCCGCCCCCCTGGTCCAGGCAATCAGTTCCCTTTTCCGTATGGTCGTGAGCGGATGCAGAGCGTCACTGGGCCCAATGCTCAACCTAATATGCCACCTCAAATGATGCAGCCAGGCCCAGAAGGTGGCATGTGGCAAGGACCTCGAGACATGAACTACCAGAACTTCCCCAACCGCCAGGGTGGACCTGGAGGACCCCCACCGGGACATGGCTACCCTGGTATGAGCCGCTCCGAGGATATGATGTCGTCAGAGCAGAGGATGAATCACGACGGCCAATGGGGTGGTCAGATGGGCCCGCGGCAGCCTTCATATGGCCCTTCAGGGCCAGGGCAGCCCCTGTCTCGTTCTGTACAGTCCGGCTACCAGTCACCTCAGGGGGTGCAGAACCACATTCCACAGGTTTCTAGTCCAGCATCCATGCCACGTGCCATGGACAGTGGAGTATCGCCAAGTAAAAGTCACTTCATGCATGGAGTGATGAAGATGCAAAAAGCAGGTCCCCCTGTTCCTGCATCTCACATAGTGCCCCCTTCAGTGCAGTCGCCATTAATCAGAAGAGATATGCCTTTCCCTCCAGGCTCTGTAGAAGCCTCCCAGCCTGTTCTTAAGCCACGCCGAAGACTAACCATGAAAGACATTGGTAAGTCATGTTTTTGTATCATTTCATACCCTGTTACATGTAGCTCTTTCTGTTCTAACTGTGTGTAATTGGTCTTTAGGAACACCTGAAGCATGGCGAGTTATGATGTCTCTCAAGTCTGGTCTGTTAGCTGAAAGTACTTGGGCCTTAGATACCATCAACATCCTCTTGTATGATGACGGTAGTATTTCTACATTCGATCTTAATACGGTAAGAACTTAAAAACAATACTTTAAAACCATATGTGTTTTTATGTCTTATGAGGCCCTTTTCATTCTCTCCCTCAGTTGCCTGGTCTACTTGAGCTTTTAGTGGAGTACTTCAGACGCTGCCTCATTGAAATATTTGGCATACTGCGGGAGTATGAGGTGGGAGACCCTGGTCAGAGGACGCTACTTGATCCTAATGCATTGAAAGAAGATTTGGACAACATAGACTTGGAGGTCCAGGCAGACGACATGGAGGATGAGGAAGAGGAGGACGATGACGAGATGGAACAGGAAGCTGTGGGACCAGTTCATGTAAAAGAGGAGGAAAAGGAGCAATGCCTTGGGAATTTGGGTCAAGAAGAAAAACCTGAAAATGATGAAATAAAGAGCAAAGTTTCATCAGAACAGGCGAACTTTGTGCAGTCCTCACTTGAAAATGAAAGACCCAAACAGGCAAGCAAGTTTGATAAATTCCCCCTAAAAGTGGTACGAAAAAAAGACCCTTTTGCCTCTGCCCAGTCCAACAATCATGGCAAATTGCAAGAATTTGACAGTGGCTTACTGCATTGGAGTGCTGGAGGTGGAGACTCAACTGAACACATCCAGACGCACTTTGAACCTCGCAAGGATTTCTTGGAGCCACGAGAAAGAATACCTGTGCCTCAAAGTTTGTTGAAGAGGCGAATCCCTGAAGATGAACTCAAAGAAACCTGTATAACAGAAGGGGGAGAAGTAACAAAGGACGAAGAGCCTAAGCAAGCATCAGCCACAGAGAATGTTGAGAAAGATGACATTGAAAAATCCCCATCTCCCAATGCAGATAATCCTAACCATGATTCTGAAATGCCTCCAATTCAAAATCATGAAGCCCAACAAGAAATTGACAAATCAAATTCTTCACTTACCAGCGGATTACCACAGATATCAAAGCAGACTGGTGGCACCATCTTGGAAGACGAGCCTCACAGTAAAGATGAGGGGCCACTCGTAACCATCGCTAATTGGCAAGATTCATTGGCAAGACGATGTGTTTGCATTTCAAATATTATCCGAAGCCTATCGTTTGTTCCAGGCAATGACCATGAAATGTCAAAGCACCCAGGATTGCTTCTAATGCTGGGACGTCTGATCCTGCTCCATCACAGACATCCTGAGCGCAAACAGGCCCCGCTTACATATGAAAAAGAGGAGGATTCAGAGGAGGGACCAGGCCAAAGGGATGAGTGGTGGTGGGACTGTTTGTCGCTGCTCAGAGAGAACACACTGGTCACTCTGGCAAATATCTCAGGTCAGTTAGACCTGTCTGTCTACTCGGAAAGTATCTGTTTGCCCCTGTTGGATGGCCTTCTTCACTGGGCAGTCTGCCCCTCAGCTGAGGCCCAGGACCCATTCCCCACATTGGGCCCCCATAGTGCTTTGTCACCTCAGAGACTAGTCCTGGAGACACTAAGCAAGCTCAGCATTCAAGACAACAACGTGGACCTCATCCTGGCCACTCCACCCTTCAGTCGTTTAGAGAAGCTGTTCGGAAACTTGGTTAGACTAATAGGTGACCGGAAGGTGGCAGTCTGCAGGGAGATGGCTGTAGTTTTATTGGCAAACCTGGCCCAGGGTGACACTATTGCAGCGAGAGCCATTGCTGTGCAAAAGGGCAGTGTAGGTAACCTGTTGGGGTTTCTTGAGGACAGTCTAGCCGCCACACAGCTGCAGCAGAGCCAGAGCTCCTTACTTCACCTACAGGGGATGCACTTTGAGCCTACGAGCCCGGACATGATGCGACGAGCTGCTCGGGCTCTGCACGCCTTAGCCAAGGTGGAGGAGAACCACTCGGAGTTCACACTACATGAGTCTCGACTCCTTGACCTTTCTGTGTCTCCCCTTATGAACTCACTGGTTTCTCATGTTATCTGTGATGTACTATTTTTGATTGGTCAGTCATGACAGCTGTAGGGAGCTGTGGCTCCTTTTCAAGCATTTGCCCTGCCCTCCTTTCCTGCTAACCTGACGAGTGTGAGTAACAGGGCAAAGAGAGTGACTGTTTTAATTTATAAAAGACAATAAAAATCCCAAACTGAGCTCTCCACAGGCTGCCCTTGCCCAAGGAGGAAAATCAGTGCTGTGGTGATTGACTTCTGAGAAAATGCCCACCTAGTGACACTACTTGCAATGCGTTTGCCAACTGGATGACACTGCAAAGCGCTACAGTTTGGAGATTGTTCTGCACTTGGGGGAAAAGTACTTTTATAACAGATAAATAAATGAATTAATAAATAAATAGCTGAAAAACAAAAACTGTAACCAAAGTTGCTGTCTCGTTTACAGTGAGTTTGGGAGACCCGATGTGCCCTAACTGTCCCTTCAAGGGTACAATGAGTCTGACTGGTTAATGTTCAGAGGTGATGCAGACTGACAAGTGGCCTACTGGTTGAAGTTGCTGTAGTTTGGAGTCTCGCCAGTTGGCCCAGTCAATATACAACTTGGTTGGGGAGGCCTGTGCAGTGTGCAGTAGATTGTAGGACATTTTCTGTACCATACTGCTCTTGAGTGTAAGCATTCTGTAACACGTCTCACACAGAAGCTGGTGATGCAGCTCTTCTAGAGTTCTGAGGTCTATTTAGTTTGGTGTAAAACAGAATATGGCTTTCTTCCCCAAAGTATCAAGAACCGACAACACCCTTACCTCCTCTTATCCCTTGATTGTATGGACACCCTTATGAAAAGAAATCACCTTGTAGGACTGGTTTTCAACTTCAAATACAGCGTTGCTGTGGTGTATATATAATGTTGTACATTACATTTCTTTTGTGTCTGTCTCTGTCTGTGTCACTATCCTCACACTTGTATTGGTGAGGGAAAAAGGCTGCTAAGGGTTTGATCCATGGCCTCCAGTCCCTGATTAGACCACTTACGGACTCTTCACAGCGCTGTAGTACAGCAGACACGACTCAAAACTGGTACAACAATAAATTAGACAAACACATTTGACAATTTTCTCCAGTCATGGATTGCATATTTGTATTTCAAACGATGTAGCTAAGACATGTAAATTCCTCCCCTTCCCTTTTGGCTCAATGAATATCATTTATTCAGTATGAAATCTTTATACTATATGTTCCACGTGGTAAAATAAATGTACATTAAATCTTCGTAAGCTGTTTGATGTTTGTGTGATGTTAGAAAGGGGTTGAATATAATATTGAGAATAGACTATTTAAGTTAATCATTCCAAAATCAAAATTTACTTCCCTCAACAAAATATACTGAATCTAATAGCCATTTGTTTACTCAATTTACTCCGTAATAAAAGTGCATAGGGCGCCCTCTGCCGAGGAGTTGTGCTCATCAGGCGCAGTGCTTTTATTTTGAAATGGTTGTCCTTAGTTACACCGGAACTGAAAGTGCTTTTGTGACCCGCGGTGCTGCAGTGAAAGGAGGAAGGCCACTCGTATTTCCATGCTCCGTACGCATTGTTTTGTTTTCATTGGTTGAAGTGCGAGTATGTTATCATTTTATATGTCAGGCGAAGTGTTCACTAGTTATGCGTCGTAATAAACACGAATCTACTGCACACTGTTTTCAAGTAGCAATAATGTTTGTTGGGCCTTATATTACCGGTTGTTCCGGCATTTGTCTGACATATCAATGACCATGGATATGAAAGCTGTTCTTCAGTTTGCCGCAGCAACGAGATGTGTAACGTTGATTTTGCAAGTAAGTTTTAATAATGTGTTTTTTTTTTGTTTTTTTTTTAATGGATTGCTGGTTTACACTTAACGTTACTAGTGATACTTAAACGCTACACCTGTCCCTAGCTTCGTGTATACCTGCATGCATTTTGTTTTTAGGGGAGGTTTTGGAATAATAATTCATCAGAAAATCGTGCTGTTACTGTTGCCTATTAATTAACCTAATTTCTAGAGTACGGAAATCAATGTAAAACTACTTATTCTTTGAATGACCAGTGTGTCCTATTTCTCTGTATAGGCAGTCCTAAATGCGGCCATCCCTGATCATGAAGCAGATGCGTTCAGGCCCCCTCGGACAGAAGAGCCTCTGTACCTGGACTCCAATGTGGACTGGCTGTTCAGTGGCCTGTCACGCTGGGATGCTGAACATTTTCTCTTCATTGCCGAGAGGGGATACTTGTATGAACATAATTTTGCCTTTTTCCCTCTCTTCCCGATCATTCTCAGAGGCTTGGCTGACACATTACTTTGGCCCTTGAGCACCTGGCTGACTGTTCGTGGACGGTTGCTAGTGGCAGTTGCTCTTGGAAACACAGCACTCTTCTTGCTTAGTGTGGTGGCCTTGCATGCACTTGGTAGAATAGTTTTACAGGATAAACGCCTCGCTCTACTCTCCAGTCTTCTGTACTGCATCACACCAGCCAATGTTTTCATGACTGCTGGATACTCAGAGAGCCTATTTGCAGCGCTCACCTTTGGAGGATTATATCTTTTGGAGAAAGGATTCACCCTTAGAGCTTGTTTGGCACTCAGTATAGCTACAGCAGCACGCTCCAATGGACTGGTGAACATAGGATTCCTGCTCTATCTTCCTTCTTTATATGCTCTTACTCAGATTCGTGTTTATCGAGCAACTACAAAGGGTCATGTCAAAGTCTTTCATTACATATTTGTCATTATTCGTTTGTTGTTCACTTCTTTATTGGGCACTGCTATTATAGCCCTTCCATTTGTAACATTCCAATACTATGGATATAGGACGTTTTGCACGCCATCTCTCTCCTTGGAGCGTATCCCTCCAGCTCTGCTCTCACTTGCTGAAAGAAAGGGCTACAGAGTACCTGATGAAAATGGCCCTCCACCTCTCTGGTGCATGAGGCCTCTGCCTATGCTGTACTCTCATATTCAAGATGTTTATTGGGATGTTGGGTTTTTACGCTACTTTGAACTTAAGCAAATACCAAACTTTGTTTTGGCCTTACCAATGGCTACTCTTGGAATTATGGCAGCATATGCATATATTCAGGCCAACCCAGAACTGTGTCTTCGACTTGGACTTTGGGAAACAATTGAAAATAAAGGACTTGACAAGCCAGTACCAGGATTTTTCAACCCCCGGGTGTTTGTGTATGTGGTTCACTCCAGTGTATTACTGGTGTTTGGAATGTTGTGCATGCATGTACAGGTAAGAATATACAACATCACATTTACCAGTACTATTTTTTTGATCAAAGTTATCATGTTCCATTTTCTCCCAAAGGTCCTTACCAGGTTCATGGCCTCTTCCTCTCCAGTGCCATTTTGGATAAGTGCACATCTGCTACTGCTCAATGAGCCGCTTCTTCATAGAAGAAAAACTTCCACTCCCGGTGTTCAGCTGCACAGCCATCATCATAACGGATGCAAGCACACACCCCCAAACCCCATCATAGCATTACTGCTAAACTTCACAGCCTGTTCTTCAATTACTAAAGGCATTTTGGGTTATTTCCTGTCCTATTGGCTGTTAGGTTTGATAATGCACTGTAACTTTCTGCCATGGACTTGATGTTATCCTGAGCTACAACAGCACAGATATGTAAAATTTGGTAATAACATCTTTAACATTTAGTTTACTTAATAAATCAAAAATCAGATGAAGTAAACCAACCCAACACACTGTATTTCTGTTCACATTTACTTGGTTCTGTATTTGCGGTATTTTTTTATTTTTATTTATTTTTTTAGCACAGTTGTATGCACATTTTAGCAATAATTGTTTTTTGCCTTGGGTTGAGTTTGCACATAGTTTACAAAAAGAATACTGCTATATGGAAAAGTCGCATGTTTGTAAAGGAAAAAAAAATTCTCTTTGCACTATAAACAATTTAATGTGGGGCTAACGCTATTTTATAGAACTGCTGAGTAAATCACTACAAAACTACGTGTTTGTTTTCTTGTGTCCTTTTAAAAATGTAAAGTGTGGGTAATCATTTGGCTGGTCTTTCAGCCCCATACTTCTAATCTGATGTGTGTTTTTAGTTTTGAGTCTCACGTCAGCCTCTTTGCTGTGACGTAGCGTTAAAGGGAAGCGACGTGGGCCAGACGCAAAGAGCTGGAGGCTGCTTCGTGATCGTGACTCGTGGATCCCATAAACAAGAAATTAACCCGATGACTTTAAGACGCGTTAATAACTAAATGAAATGCTGACTGATGAAGCGTCAAAGGGACAGAGGAATCTTATCAGACGTGATCACGGGGAAGAATGGCTTTGCTGTCTCTGTAGCTAGCTAGCGTTAGCTTCAGGATGGTAAACTGAGATGAGCGAAGACAATTTTTACGAGACAAGGACAAAATATACTGTGCACTATCAGTAAAATTCAGTGGATTTTACGTTTAAGAAGAGTTGTACTTCACGTTTTCTCTACCTCGGAACGGAAATGAAGAGTTGTGAGTACCAGCAGATTGACCCCCGTGCGCTGTCCGTATCCCCGCTGTCTGCCCAGAGCCAACCCGACACCAAAGCGCAGCGCCCGCGGAGGAAATGGGAAGTTTTCCCGGGGAAGAACCGCTTTTTCTGCGATGGACGGATAATTTTGTCCCGTCAGAGTGGGGTTCTCCCTCTCACTTTGGGCCTTATAGTGATCACCTGTGGCCTGTTCTTTGCATTTGAGTAAGTGCTTCAGTTTATTGTGTTTATTTGTCACAGCCACTCACTCCATTCTTCAATTGTTGGGTTAACACTGAAATGTTTTTCAATTTCCAGTTGCCCTTTCCTGGTAGAGCACCTGACCGTCTTCATACCTGTGATTGGGGGACTCCTTTTTGTGTTTGTGATCTTGTCTTTGCTCAGGACAAGCTTTACAGACCCCGGGATTTTACCCAGGGCTACCCCAGATGAAGCGGCAGACATAGAGAAGCAGATAGGTGAGGCAACTGCATAGTTAGACTGTGACAGATGGGGTACAAGAGCTTTGCCATCTGGGCCACACTGGAGGGCGTCATGAGGCAGTGAACCCACACCTCTACCTAGTTTATAGAGGGTTAAATTCTTGTAAACCTACATTATGCACTATTTGATGTATGGCACGTGGTTCAGTGACGTTCCTGTTCCTCTCTTAAGATTCTTCGGGATCCTCTTCATATCGACCCCCTCCCCGGACCAAGGAGATCCTCATTAACCAGCAGGTGGTAAAGCTCAAATATTGCTTTACATGTAAAATGTTTCGGCCTCCTCGGACCTCACATTGCAGTCTCTGTGACAACTGTGTTGGTAAGTAATACATATAACATGCACATGAATTGTAATTTAAACATTTTAATAAGCTACATATATTACACAGCTAATAGTTATAATAATGTTTAACTAGTAACCAGCAATACCATATGAAATGTTCAACAAACATTTTGGAATTTTAATATATAAGTTTTTGGTGGAATAAATATATGAAACATTAAATAAAATTAATTTCAGTGTTGAGGTTTGTCTCATTTGGTCCATTATGTGTTGCGACCTTCAGAGCGATTTGACCATCACTGCCCTTGGGTTGGAAACTGTGTGGGAAAACGCAATTACCGCTTTTTCTACAGTTTTATCATCTCCCTGTCTTTTCTGACATCTTTTATATTTGGCTGCGTCATCACTCACCTTACCCTGCGTAAGTATTCACTCAAGTACTCATTGAATAGTTGTGTAATTAATCACAAGGACCATTGATTGTTTGCTTTCTTTCAGGTTGTCACGCTGGTAAAAGCCTTATTCAAGCCATTCAGGAGAGCCCTGCCAGATATCCTTTAACAAAGTCTTATGATGTCTCTCTTTGTTTACAGAAAATTAACATGTTTTTCATGGGTTGTTTATCTCAAAGTGAGGAGTAACAGAAGCTGCTGTGCTGTGCTCCTCTTCGCCTTAAGCCACTTAACAGGATCAAAGTTTAACTCAGTGCTGTGGGCTGTTGTCTTTCAGCAGTACATTTGCTGCCTCATGTGCTTGAGTCCTGATGTCAGTGGCTGCTTGGATTTTTTTTTTTTTTTATAATTTATTTTAAGACTATATTATAGTTAAAGCATCCTCTACATTTGCTCCTTAACTTTTTGTCCACTATAGTGGAGTTAGTCATTTGTTTCTTTTCTGTGTGGTCTATTTTGGGCTTGTCAGGCTTCCATACATACTTAGTGGCCTCCAACCTTACAACAAATGAAGATGTAAGTTTCCTTAAAATTACTCTGGAATAAAAAGCATGATGGTGGTACTGAATGTTGTGTTTGTTCCTCTAGATTAAGGGCTCTTGGTCAAGTAAACGAGGTGCAGATGATTCTGGGAACCCATACACTTACAACAGCATCATCAAAAACTGCTGTGCGACACTGTGTGGCCCTATGCCTCCCAGGCAAGTCAAATCATTTTAGTTCTTTTCAAGGCATTCTCTATTATATATTTTTGTAAAAGTATTTCATTCAAGCTTTCATTTTGTTACTACTGTATATTGATTCACTGTGTTTACTGTAATTAAAAAAAATAATTTACTCATCATACATTTGTGTGCTGCTAATGTTATTGAGCCATACAAGACTCTGGTCCACATCAGGATGACCAAGTTATTGTATGTGACCACACAGAGACAGAGTCATAAAATGATAGCATCCATCAGCATCTGTCCTTTCTTCAGTGGTTCATTCACTGATGGTTCATTCACTGACACAATAGTATTAACAATCATTAACCTGCTGAGCTGGTCAAGTTACACAGTTCTGCTTGTTAATTGTTAAACAAAGTTGCCTAAAAAACTTTTCTTTTCTATTTACAGTTTGATTGACAGACGAGGTTTTGTGCCTCCAGATGAGGCAGTCACTGCTTCTTGTACTTCAGAGATTGAGCTGCCTCCATTCACAGCCAAGAATGACACAAACATGGTAGGATGAACTGTTTTTGTGTCTCATAATATCAATGTTAGCTTGTCCTGAGTGTCCCTCTTCTAACCTGTAGTCTGTAAGCAAGTCCAATTGTTGAGATGTTTTTTCATATTTTAATTGTTTTGAAAGTGGCTTTTATGTGCACTGTGCATAGTGAAAGGTACTTTCACTATTTTACCTTGGTTGGAGCTAAATGGGTGCTTAAATGTTAAAACTACCCCGTAAGGTGCTGCTGACTTACCAGTCATGCACACTGCAATTATTTGGTGGGAACAGTTTGTGTGTTTTTGTACATCTGTGACTGTACGACTTGGTGTACATTTAGTTGTGCTTGAGGTGCATAAAGGCCAAAACTGTAATTATTGTTTGTGGAACGTAAGTGTATACAGCATTTTATTTGTATTTTCTACAGTCACACTGTTGACTTATCATTTATTTTCTTAAATTTACATATATATAAATAAACTTTATTTTTATATCATATGCTGATATTTGGGTGTCTGACATTTTAATTGCGAGTGCATTGCCCAGACAATATGTACAATAGACAACTTAATGCTGCGTGTACTGTATCCGTTCACTCTCCAGGAGGAGAACTGTCAGGACTTTTCTGTGTCCTGCACAGCCTGAAGGCACCTGCCTGTGGTTCATGGTAAGAGAAGGGTCCACTGTCACTTCTCACCAGCTGTCATCGACATTGTCTTCATTAATCACTTTTTGTTGTTGCTAGGTTTGGATTTAGTATCATACTGATTAATAACTACTTGAACTGTTACATGTGACAAATTTGCAACGACTGTGTGATTTGGGCAGTTTTTATCTGTGCATGCTTTACCACTTCCACTTTAACAGACACTGCATTTCTGAAACTTGCTTCAGGGACTTTCGATGGGACTCTTGTGCATGCAATGACTTTGTGAAAAATGAAGAACAGCTACAAAAATTGCTTCTTGTGCAAAAATCCGTTTTCTTGTTTTATGTCATTTTAACCCACTACCTCTCATCCATTTTCTCTATCAGCAGCTCTCGTATGCACTTCCTCTTTCACTAATTGAACGATATCTGTCTGTATTTGTTAATGTTTGTTAAAGTATACTTTCCTTTTGTTCTAGTGCACACAGAGAACAAAGGACATGTTGGAGAGGATGCTGCACTCCTCTGACTTTCATGCTGTGTGCCCAGCGGGACCTCCAAAGACCTCTCCTTTGGGCCTGGAGGCCTCTAGCTCCATGGGCCCGGCCCGAGCGCCCAGCGTGTGCCCACGGCATGCAGGCAGCCCCTGCACAGCCTGTGCCAGGAGCAGGAAGGACTCTTTGCACTCCATCAATCCAGCTTTCCGCTTGGCATCACCCTCCCCTTCATTGCCCCGTGTCAACTTGGCTCTGAGCGACACACAGGAAGAGGGGTTCATCTCGCTTCCCTAGTAATGGGTTGTATTTAGATATTTAAATGGGATGAAGTCATACTCAGATGAAGGTCAGGAGCCAGTATGCCTGTACCAGTTACATTTTATTTTTTTAAATATCTTGCAAATCTACAGATTTAAAATTTTTTAGGGATCAGATTAATCATCAATTAATATTGACTAAAGTAACTCTGCCTGCCCACAGTTAAACTCATCAGAGCAAGAAAGTTAAGAGGTCATTTGAAACCAAACAATTGGTATCTGGCTTGATTTTCTATCACTCTAGTATTATAGGGGAGGAGTAGTTCACATTTGTAAGTGACATAAAGTGCTGCTACAGTATATGTTGACAGTGTGTGTCCAGTTGGGTATGGCAATATCATAGACACTGGCAGAATAAGTAATCTTAGTAAAACTATCAGCACAAATAAGCAATATATTTTAACACTGTAAATTGTGCCCAGACCTTTACTCAATGTAAAGCCATAAACCAGACAATTCTAACTTATGCAAACCTCTCAACTCAAGTCACAAATGATGTTGGCTGTGCTGTGATGTAGATCAGGTGAATGAGTGAATCTTGTGTGTCTTTGGGCACTCACTTGTCCTGCCTCATAAATGGTGATCAATAGTTGTGAAGTTGAGAATAATATTGAAACCTAGTTGTTGTATGTGAAAAATGGTGTGGTGAATTTGCTACATTTTTCTTTGTTTGCTGCTGCCTGCTGGATCATGGATTGCAGTATGTATCACTAAGTTGGAATTTCACATTTGTTTGTTTATTGTCTTATACTCTCATCGACAGATCTGTGGGCGTTGTGACGAGGCTAAAGAGGCCTCAGCGCAGGTGGTCAACTCAAATTCCTGACCTTTGACCTTTTCATGCTAAAATATGATCCACTCGATTATGGCCACTAGAGGTCGCTGTGTAACTACAAATGTCGGGTCAACACTACCACAAAGGTTAATGTCTTTCAGTGTTATGTTTTGTTTCAAGTCACGTTTTTGAATGTACCTTAGTGGTAAGTTAAAAAGAACCACTTTTACATTATCTTTACAATTAAAGAATCTGAAGCCTTTAGAGGTTTAGTTCAAGGTACAAGCTGTGCTTGTACAAAACAGTTTTGTAGAATGTAAATGTGATAAATAAACATGTTTTATATTTTTTCAGGCCCTCCCTTTTTGTGAATTGTGTAATAAGTGCTAAATGTGCAGTGAGTCCAGAATAACTGTTATCTAAATGTTAATTACACAATATCTTATTCCACTGTAGTGAAATCATAGATGCACATAGTTAAGGTTTCTCTGTTCATGTGATAATTGTAGTTTAAACACAGCTACAGGTCATTATTTGTGTTCAGGCTCATTTGGCATTTCAACAGCCATGCACTTAGCACATTTAAAACTTAATTATTGGAATGATCTAGGCCTGATGGAAAAAAACAAACAAACAAACAGAAAACATTAACACTGAACTGCAGGGTCTCTGTATCATGTGTTTTGCCATGTGTGAGCATGGTTGTCAGTGTGACAGGAGCAGTGAGCACTTCTTTTCTGATTCACCAATGTTGTTCCTACTTAGTGTGTCAAGCTCACAAGTTGTTTCTTCATTACTCATCATTTTGGACAAAAACTGAACTTCATTGACTCAGGCGCCACAACAGTCCCAGAGCAGGATGGTTCTCATGAGGTGAACAGAGTGTCCTTGTATAGTTTAGTACCACTACCAGTGAGACATCAAACAAACAGAACCACAAAGTGTCCAAGAAAATTACACGCCTGAAGCTCTCATTCAACAAATTTCATAAACATGGGTGGTCTTTCTAACATAATTGCAAAGTAACAGGTGGTTATAGGCCTAGTTTTAGTAGCTTTCTTTTTTAGTTGCACTACATAACTTTTGTACTTGTCTCCATGGAGATGTAATTGTTTTGCCTGGAATGTCACATAATATGACAAAACATCCATCTATGTCTGTACAGAGACAAGATGGTGACACCACCTTTGAGGTACAGGTCTGTGTGGAGAGGGGCTATATCCAAGTCCAAGGCATTATTATTAATAATAATAGTAATAATAATAATTAATTATTATTTATTTATTCAAATGCAAAAAATAAACTTGCCATGTACTCCAGGTGTTTTCATGAAAATATAAAATTAGAGAACACATTTGACATCTATTGATGTCTTATCGCAAGCTATAGGTTAAATATTGACCAGTATTTCTGGGATTCAGTTTCTCGAGAAGGGGAGTAGGGAGAAGGCCAAAGTTGAATCACGCATAATTGATGACTGCAAAGTGGAAAGTGCTAACCATGGAAACCTGAATATGAACATCGTGTGCCCCCTTATCACATTAAGCATTACTTAGCAACCATTTTGATCCTCTTCTTTCTCATGCAAAAGGTTGTCCTTTGAAAACATTGATAAACATGGAACTTTTTAAGTTATTTTTCAGTTGAAAACCTTCTCAGACGTTCCCTTCTTTTACACCATACCTAATTGTTACACAATAAAACAGGCTCTGAGCTTCTTTTTATGCACAATAAAGTGACTGGAGTAGGACAGATACTGCAGGCTGCTGCTGCTGAGTCACTGACAGGACATGACCAGACATACCTCTGGCCTGTTTGACTTTGGAGGCCAGAGGAGGTAAAATGCTTATCATGATTGCTATGTTACTTGACAGACATAAGTTACATAACACTAGGAGAGATTGTGATTCTTTTCCTTACAATACAATACAGTGAACATTTTATTTGTCAGTGATTTGTATAAACGTCACATAAAGGGGACATGCAAAATTGATTTTTATAAACTTGTTTTAACTGTGATGCCTCGTCATTTACTTCATGCATGTTTGAATAATCCTAAATAGACCATTGTCCTGGATTTGGGGATTGAGTGTTTTTAGATTGTGACTGTTTTCAATACTTTTAAATAATGTAATACAATAATAGTATAACAAAGTTCAACATTTTCTGAAATTTAAACCTATTTTATCATACAGGGTCATGAGCATTTTTGATCTGTTTTTGATCTTGACATAAGATGATGTTGATGATGATGTCACTTCTATATTTAAACACCTAAGGGTTAAAAGATTAGTACCGTCTGAAAATGTTGACCAGTGTCCATTCATTTAAGTAGACATTTGCTTTAAGGGCTGTTTTTTCATTAGCAGTAGGCCTGTCTCTGGTACAGTCACAACCTCTTCTCCCTGACTGTTGCAAATCTCCAAAGCAAAGGTTGTCCCAGTAGCATTGACTCAAGTTCCCCATGACATGCTTCACTCTTTATTGCCCCTATACCCTGTTCCTCTGGACTTCTGCATGTGGGAGTGGGGGGATTGGGGGGCTGCTGTATTTCTGGGAATGAAATTGGAGCTTGTGGCTAAAACAGGCTTCCCCTCTCCTTCTGGAAAACGCTTGGGAGGCTGTACTTTTTACTATAGCATTTTATTATATTTTCATCCTTTTACGTCTTGAATTTTGGCTATCGGTGTATTCGTTTATTATTAGTATCTGTCAGTGTCTATTGGCCTGTTGGGTCAATGGAAATGCAAGCAACAAAAACAACATTTACGGTTAGTAGTAGATGGTTGATTGATAGTCCCCTAGCAGTACTGAGGGGACCATGCATCTGATGATTTAAGCTTTGGTTAAGGAAGAGGTCCAAGTTTAGACACCCCACACAGAAGGGGGGTAGTGTATTTTATTACTGCACACAAGCCGCACATGTCTGTCTTCTATATCGCTCTGTGCTGCATGTGTTTAGCTTTACTCACTCAAAGTGGTGCCCAGGAAAAAAACAATAGTATTTTGGTAACAGACATATTTGGTAGTTTTGTGTTTTTGATGCTATAAATTGAAATCTAAGAGCACTCCTGAAGGAATTCCTCATCTTCCTTATGTCTATTACTGTACTCATTTTGTTTGTAAATGTTATCTATAGGAACAAATTATGTACATATTTCTCTCATAGTTTTTGTTTTCTGTAAAATTCTTGCATTCTTTGCGTTGTAGAGTTTTTGAACTCTAGACCTCCAGGGAGTAAAAATGATATGTCTTACATAATGTTGCACTATAGTTACATACACAGCCTATTTCAGTGCACTGCAATAAACTGACACAACAGAGTACAGGCAGGCCTCATGGAAATACTGCAAACACAAGTACTTCTTATCTTTACCTTAAGTAACATTTTCAAGGGGTGAGAAATGTCAGTGTGAACAATGCCACTGTTCTTGCTTTGAACTTTAGAGCTGCACTATGTAACTTTTCTGAGGCAGAGATCACTGGAAGGGTTATTTCTTTGTATGGAATGTCCCACAGTATGGCATTACATGTATCTTTTTCCATAGTGATGTCACCAGGCTAAATTACAGGTCAGATCTGTGGCGAGGCAACCCTGCTTACAGTAACAATGCATTTTTCAAGGTGTTTTTTCTCATGTATATAACTTTAAAGGCGCACAATGTAATTTCTGATGTTGGGGCCACCACCTGCTTTGTCTTCTTGGAGATACTATTGATTTTCCTGAAATGTTCCACAGTATGACATTAAATTGATCTGTTTCCATGGAAAGAAGCAGGAAGTGACGCCACAAGTTACAGGTCAAATATGTGGAGAGGTGAGCCCACTGACTGAAATGCACCCTTTTTATTTTTTGAACAACGAAAACACACGTAATTAAGTACATGCCGTGCTCTGGAACATCCCAACTAAAGCAATAACATCTCCATAGCTGATCCTCTACCAGAAAAATTCCGTAAAACCTCTTTAAACATTGATTGTACAGACTCTTCACTTGTGGCATCATTGCAGCCTATTGTTCACTGTGTGTTTTGGTGCGGTGAAGTTTTCCAGAAGCACTTAACTCTGCTACTGTCATTAATGGAGCAGTGAGTGACGTCAGAGGTGCGGACGCTTGTGCAACTGTTCCACTGCTGTGTCCATAGATTTGTGATCCGGAAAAGTAAACTCTCCTGTCTTATCACAATCCTGTTCAGATGCCCAAACTGAAGTGACTGGTCGTGTTAACCTGGTCACAGCAACATTGAGAAAATAGCTGCAGCTGCCCGGCGATTTCAACTATCGCTATGCCGCTGTCCCAAACTCACACATGATGCACTCTCTAATTTTAGAAGGCACTTGGTCATATCATGTCTGAGAGGGCTCACTCAAGAATGAGGGAAGTCTCTTTGGGGAAGTTCATCTACACGCCTGTTTAAGCTGGGGGAAATAAGTAATAATCATTGATAAATAAAGTACAATGGTCTTTGAGTTACAAGCTCACATAAAATGTTTTGGATCTGTGTCCATATGCCAAACTATTATGAAAAATTACTGCCCAAAAATAAAGTAGTTGACTTAAAAATATATGTATATCAGACAGTGAGTCACTAAAGCATTTTATTGATTAAAAACAGTTGCATACTTATTACTTAATTACTTATATTGTTTTTGTTTTGTAGACCTATTGAATTTCCTTCAGGATCAATAAATTATCTACCTATCATGGAGAATTTTCATTCTCACTAATCCTATACACAACAATTTAAGTTTAATTTTAATATATTTGACTACACTAATGTATCACTTCAGTTTTTGTTTTTGTTTTACTTAGGTTACACACTATTTGTTCTTTGTCAGAGGAGAAGTAAAAACATTGCCAATACACCATTTGTTTAAGGGGTGTTTAAATCGGTCTTTGCCACCGCACCTACTAGACTCACAGTGCGATGACTTTAGCCGGATGTCAAAACAAGCACAACCCAAGCTTAGTAAATTAAATAAATAGATAAACAAAACAAACAGAAAAAGTTAAAAGTGCCAGTTACTTTGAAATGTAAGTATATTATACATAGGCTGCTGTTCTCAAATGTAAGCAATATTTCAAATGTTTTTTGAAACTCCTCATGGATTTCAGCCAATGAGTTATAATATAGGCCTATATTATAACGCATGGGTTTCAGCCTCCTGTTATATGCATTTTGAGGGCTTTTCTCCATTTGAAAAAAAAATTATAAAATAAAATAAAATGTTATATTTTTTTCATCATTCTAACATCCATGGACAGTGAAAAGTCACCTTAGCTCACGATTGCTGAAGGAGAAAACACTGAACTTTATGCCAGTTTTAATTTGAACTGGTTTGATAATAGCCTACTTAAAAACCAGGTCACAACATTTGCATTTTGACAATTAAAAGACATATTCTATTACTTGCCTGCCCTTCACCTCAATATTAAAGGTGCATTGTGTAAGGTTTCTGGTGGAGGGTCCATCAAATGCTTTTCTCCATGGATGTGCTATTGCTTTGTCTGGAATATTTCACAGTATGGCATTAACCCTTTCTATCTTTACTGAGACCAAACCAGACGAAGTTACAGGTCAGATTTGTGGAGAGGCCTGCTCATACTCAGAATGCCTGTTTTTCTAGGTATTTTTGAGCTGTAAAATGTAATGGAATACTAGGAATATTCCAGATAGATTAATGAAATATCCATAGAAACAAGAAGGTGACAGACTCCTAACCAAAAAGTGACATAGTGCACCATTAAAGTATACGCTCAATGTTGATGTCACATAAACTCAACCTTTTTGCCGTTTTCTACACATAGTGACTATTAATAGCACGATGACGCAGAGATCACGCTCAAGTCACCTGCCTGGATCCTATGGTATGGACGCCTCTGACCGGCCACCTGGCAACCAACCTGGGATGCTGTCGCCACGGTTACGGGATCATTCACAATGGATGATTTTGCTTTGTCTGATGTGGAAAACAGGAAGTGTGTGACAAGACACTATTATTTAAGTCATATATTTTACTGTGGAGTCTCTAAAGGTCAATGGTGGAGTAAAACAGACATGGGTATCTCATAAACATATCACGCTGCACCACTTGTAGGTCATAACACCGCAACACTGTTGAAACTGTTTGAAAAGCAATGACGCGTCTGGATCCCTTTCATAGCAGATTGTTGATAAGAAAGAGGAAGCTTCTAGGGATTTTGCCTGTTTTCAGCAAATAGTACTCTGTCACAATCTTATGGGATCAGAGCAGTGGAATAATGTCTGCTTTTGTGAGTAATGTCTATTGTCTGCAAGCTTTCATTACAGGTGCTTCAGACTTTTAGAGCCAAGTTTGGTAATCACAACTTTGTACAAGGTGCAAATCTCAAAAAGATATGAAAGATGGAGGTATTACAGGAGGGAAGTATACCCTAACAAACAGCACCAAAAAGATAAGTAGGAGAGGAAACAGGTGGCAGGGACTGACATTATCCCTTCTAATAAATGGCTTAAATTATTTATGAATATGAATATATATTTTTATAACTTCAGTTTATGTTGCTTATTTCTGTTATATTAAAAACACGTTATAGCCACTGGCAAAGGATTATGAAAATATCCATCCAAATGTCGAGTGATTATGAAACAATTCTTTACCTATACTTTTAAACCACTTTACATTTAAATGCATTATAATTGGGCAAACAATAGCTGAATATTTTGCCCTCTATGTCAGTGAAAATTGACAAATGTGGACACATGATCATTTTTGTTTTTCCTGGAAAGTTGCTGGAATGTCACTTACACCTTTTGATAAAATGTGTGCACTACAGAAAAGGGCTTTCATCTCTGCTTCTGCTTGGCCCAGTGACAAGGAGTGGTTTGAACACAGATCACTGATCATGTAGAAGGATGTGTGGACAGAACTACAGCCCTGCATGCACACACCTGAGTAAATAGTATACATATATACTGTAGAGAGCTGTGTTAGCTCTAGGTGGAGGACTCACATGTAAGCCTGTCAAGATGACAGTATTGAGTTATCGTTCTGTAAATGAAAGCTGGAGTAAAAATTTTTGGGGGTCAATATTTATTGTGGGCATGCCTTCTTTGTTCTAGTGGAGAACTTTTATTATTATTATTATTATTATTATTTATTTTCTTCGGTACAATAAGATTTGAGGTGAAATAAATATGAGTGAAATAAATAAGTTCTATAACTTATTATAGATACAAACTAACAACTGCTATTTATTTATTATTATTATGTTTTTAACAACAACAACAATCATAATAATAATAATAATAATAATAATGATAATGATAATAATAATAATTTCATTATTAGTCTATTGTTTTTCATCTATATTTCCTTCAGCTATATCAAAATGTGAGTAATGTAAGCCTGGTTTACTAAACTATCTCAGCTCACCTGCAACGCACACTGCTGTTGAAGGCTACGAGGCCTATAGGCATAGACTAAACACACTGCGTATCCAACAGCATTACAACAACTCATAGCCTACTACTAGCCTATTTTGGTAAAACCAGCTTCAAATTCACAACCTTACAAAACCTGAACAAACCTGACATAACGTGACATAACGTGACATAAACCTAGTCTACATACATTTGGTTATCCTGTTGCCATATGGTTCAGTCATGAACTGCATAAAATGATGTCGGCCTACTTGTGTAAAGGTGTCAGGTTACTCACACCTGAGCGGGTAAAACCTCCTTGGGGCCATGTGGTTTGGAGCTGGTGAGCTGCTGTCGCTGGGCTCGCGCTGCGGGGCAGGAAGCTGTCAGGCTGACGTCACATGGAGGCTGTTCCTCCGGGCTGGGCGTCCATAATCAATGACCAAACACAGCAGCCAATCAGCGGTCCGCTCTCGAAGTCTTTAAACCCTCCGGTCCTTATGAACCACTTCTTTGCAAAGTGACCGGATTTGAGCTGCGCGCAGCGTCAAGAGGAGCGTCTCATCCCACTTCAGTCTCAGCTTTCTCCTCCAAATATCTACCAGCCCAGGAATTTACCACACTTTAAACCCCCAGAGGAAGAAGTACCACTATTTTGCTTTCTGTTTAGCTTGGGGTGATCTTGAGAGTTTGACATGTCTTGCGCTGAGGCATTGGATCCCAGCCGGCGGTTCTGCGTGCTGTCGTGGGATCAGGTGCAGCGGCTTGACTCGATTCTGGGAGAAGCGATTCCCATTCACGGACGAGGGAACTTCCCCACTCTGTCCGTGCAGCCCCGGCAGATAGTTCAGGTAACTACAGCATCATCTTGGATCACTTTCATCTGACTTTAATTATTTAAATAAACATTTTGAACCACAGCAACTCTTAAATGTAGCCTCCTGGTGTCACCTATTACTTATTATTATTATTTTATTATACGATATCAGAATCAGAATGTGTTTGCCATTTCAATATAAAAAAAAATACACAACAACAAAAGACTGTGCTCAGGGTTATCAAGATATCCTGAATATGTTATGTTAATTATATGCCATAGCAAACATACCAGGAGACCACCTTGGAAGCTGATGAATCAAATTAAGAAGTTTTTTTATGTAATATTTTGTAGCCTATATGAGCAACTGAGATATGATTTAATCCTTATCTTTACGTCTTTATAATCTTGCATCGGAGTGGAGTCATTCCCAATCTATGCACAGTTTCCATGATAGCATGCATGTCTCCCCTGTGCACATTCTCAAGACATTACATCCCCCCTGCTTACTTTTCAAATGGATTCAGCAGATATATACCCACCACTTTTCCAGCCACTCATACATTTTGGCTTGGTCATATTTCACTCTCCCAGCTTCCCATGTCTCCGTCTGTCTTTACACACTTGGCTAGGAATCCCAAAACCATGATGGAAATTTCAAATGAATGTATAGAACAGTTTCCGTATGTCAGGTAATATGTTTTGATATGCAGTTTGAGCAAAGTCGACACGTGAGGCCCCAAGCTCGTGCTTTTATTTGTGGAAAAAGTTAAATGTAGGTTTGAGTAACAGGGCTGTGTATTCCCTGAGCAGTGAAACTCCTGTTAAGACATGATATGATGATGTGAATGCCTCCCAACGCAACTGTAAATGTTTAACAACTTTAATTGTATTACAACCCAAAGCTGGTGTACAGACGTGACTCCACCATTATATCACTTTGTACCTCTAATTATACTTCATGCACTTTTTGACTTAAGACAAGAGACATGTTTTTTTGTATTGAGCTTGTTCGGGCATATCTGTGGTGGAAGTGGTAAAGATTTGGCCTTACCTTTGCACTTTAAAAGAGCGTCCCAACTATATGTAATGATAACGACTAGTCTATAAGCAGGATATTAGTAATTTTAACTCTGATGCCCTTCCTTGCTTATTTGTCAATTCCCTGACCCAGTATGTATAAATAGCTCTGGCTGGTTATCTGATCACCATGGGAGAGAGGGTCACTAATCTGACCATGGCCAGGCAGGAGATTTAAGTGTGCTTGTTCAGCTAATGTGTTCAACAGGTACTACCATTTATATGCAACAGTGAGTCAACTGCGTTAATCATTTAAAGTAAAATATCAAATATATATAGACAGAGGGATTAGAAAAATAATCTAAAATAAATCATTTATAGCAGCACTGTGGCTATTGAGAACAGATTATGAATGATAGCTGGCGTTATGCAGTTTTGCAAATAGATGAAGGCATTATTGTACTCATAAGATAAATTATGTAAACTTAAACATGAGTTCTTTTTTGTAAAGGATAAACTAGTGGACTTTACAAATTCATAAAAGACAGGATGACACATGGAACACAAAGAAAACTAACACAACCAATCCATTTTTATGTTCAAGTATGCAAAATTGTCAACTTAACTAACTAAAAAGTAATATAAAATAACAGAAAGAACACAATCATTGAACTGATCTTAAAATCCATCCAAACATACTAAACAGTAAAAGCATGTGAGCACTGGTGACTGTTGGTCCAAGCAGCTGTAGCTCGCACTGAGGTGAGATAGCTTAGACATGCACAGGTCAGTGGAGCAGAGGAAGACCACTGTCGCTGACCCCACTGACCCAGAATGAAGTGTCCAACCCTCACCAAAGCGTCACGTCTGCAGAAGATTCTCATACTCACTGAAATATTACATCTTATCAGAGTGTAGATAAGAGAGAATTACAAGGACTTGGACTTCTCTTAAATTACAACTTTGAGTTGTTTCGTATTGACCTGGCTTCACAAAAGATTGATTTTCTTTATGTTTGTGATGAGTTTATTCAAATATATTTCAGAATCATTATCTTAAATGTTTTGTTGTAAGGCCTCATAGTTACTATCGCTGGTTTAAGATAGGCACAGCCATTTTATCCTTAGGCCTATTACTATCTTACTGATAAGAAATGTCATGATTACATTCACAAGCCTAGCTCTAAGCCGCCTTTTGGCTTGTGAATTTAAGTGTATGAGGATAACATTTAACTGTACTTGCTTTATCTTGCTGCCAACTATGGTTATTAATAGGAAAAGGTATGTGCAAAAATATCAAAATATGGATATATTGTATAGTTTAATATGATGATATAGTATCGATATCTTGGGCTGCTGTATCTATATATCGAGTATTTTTTTGTATATTTTACTACATTACAGCGTTACCATTTCTTGCTTGATAAGAGGAAGGAAACTCTTATACAACAAATTTGACTTTTACTGTTTTCATGATTAAAATGGGTGTGTTTCATATGAACTTCGCACAAAAAGTGGTTTAACAGAGACTTTTAGATCCACAACCATGATTTACCTATTATTTTTTATTGAAGTGTATCGAATCGATTTGAAATATCTCATTTCAAATCAAAAGCTCACTGTGTTGAGATATGTATCATATTGGCAACTTCTTAATGATACCCAGTCCTAATTATTAAACTGCCACTGTTTTGACTGCTGACATCACACCTCTCTCCAGAGTTCATGTGAAAGTCTTACCTGGCTGTTTTGTGTCTTCAGGTGGTCCGGGCGCGGTTGCAAGAGAAGGGCATCTGTGTTAAAGATGTGAGGCTGAATGGCTCTGCTGCCAGCCATGTCCTACACCAAGACTCCGGACTGGGATACAAGGACCTGGACCTCATCTTTGGCGTTTCTCTCAAAGATGACCAGGCATTTCGACTCGTGAAGGACGTTGTGTTGGACTGCCTACTAGACTTTTTACCTCTTGGCGTCTGTAAAGAGCGGATATCGGCACTGACCCTCAAAGAAGCTTACGTTCAGAAACTGGTAAAAGTCTGCAATGACACAGATCGCTGGAGCCTCATCTCGCTGTCCAACAACACCGGCAAAAACGTGGAACTTAAATTTGTGGATTCCTTACGGCGTCAGTTTGAGTTTAGCGTGGACTCTTTTCAGATTTGCCTAGATTCTCTGCTTTTGTTTGACCGTTGCTCAGAAACGCCAATGTCCGAGAGCTTCCATCCGACAGTTATAGGTGAGAGTGTGTATGGAGATTTCGGGGCCGCCATGGAACATTTGTGCCAACGGATCATAGCCACGAGGAGTCCAGAGGAAATCCGCGGCGGTGGCTTGTTGAAATACTGCCACCTGCTTGTCCGGGGGTTTAGACCATCCTCTGAAGCGGACATGAAGCAAATGCAGCGTTACATGTGCTCCAGGTTTTTCATCGACTTTCCTGATATCGGTGAACAGCAGAGAAAACTGGAAGCATACCTCCAGAATCACTTTGCGGGGATGGAGCACAAGCGTTACGAATGTCTGATGACGCTGCACCAGGTCGTGAATGAGAGCACTGTTTGTCTGATGGGCCACGAAAGGCGTCAGACCCTCAGCCTCATCTCTATGTTAGCACTGCGGGTACTAGCCGAGCAAAACGCCATACCAACGGTCACCAATGTCACGTGTTATTACCAGCCAGCGCCCTACGTACAGGACATTAATTTCAGTAACTATTACATTGCACACGTGCACTCACCGCAGATGTCCACGTGCACTAACTCTTACCAGACATGGCTGCCCTGTAGCTGAAGAGACTGTATCAAACTAATGGACTATCAAAAAAAAAAAGTTGCCAAATGTGACTCGATTAAACAATCTTGTACTGCTGTGCATTTGATTGAGCCGTCCAACACCAATCGGGCATAAGATCATGACTTATGTTAGAAGATGGTACATTTAGAGGTGGGCGATGTTGACAAAATTAATATCATGATATCAATAATCAAAATGGCAGAAATGTACTAATGCATGTTTTAGTAGAGATTTATTGCCTGACCAGGCAGTCCCTTTTGCATTCTTTTAGATTCCAGAAGGGACTGGGACAATAGAGCGTAAAAAAAGCCTCTGTCCAAACTTGATTTGATCCAACGTCAAATGCGGAAGACATCTCCTTGAAAATTCTTGTAACATTCAGAACAAAATATATAACTTATTTTCCTTGAGCTAAATAATAGTTTGGTGCTGTAATTGGGGATTCTCTAACAATCTGCACTGTTTCTCAATCCTTTATGTAATTTTTTTATGTGTTCTTTTTTATGTGTAAGCAGCCATGTTTATTTTTGATGTGAACTGAACATGCGTCTCTCTGACTGGTTAAGCTGCTGAAATCAAAGAGACAGGATACCGCTCCAGATCCACTCGTCTTTATAAAGTTTGTCAAAGCGAGTGGTTCTGCCTGATCAGATAAAGAGATTTAAGTCAGACAAATGTGAAAGGACTGTAAAATTACCCATAAGCATGTAGAAACATCAGTTCATAAACCTGTTTGGTATATATCGATATATTGTTGCCCACCTCTAGATGCATTCAATATTAGGGCATTACTTAAACTTTTAATTTAAGTTTTAATGTAAAGGAAATAGAGAAGGATTAAGCAAGTTTGATGAGTGTGCAAAGTGTGCAGGCTAGATTTATCTAAAACATGGAATGCAATGTGTGTTATTATTATCACTGTAACTACTGTAGTTTAAGTGAAGAAATTAAAAAGTTTAGGCTGATTCAGGAAGAAGGATATATATAAAATATGATTGTTTTATATTGGACTGCATTTTGGGTAGGGGGTCTTAATGTTATGCCTGATTGGTGTGTATTCTTGCAAAACATCTGTAAGATTGCTGGTCATTTCTGAGATGTAGCGATTGCATTCTATTTAAGTATTAACGTCCTTACGAAACTTTCTAACAGAAGTACATTTTTGAAGTAATGATGACGTAGCTGGTATTGCTTTCACACTGGCTTTTTGATTACTTACTGGACCAAAGATGTATTTGTTGTTCTCAAAGGAAGTATTGTCAAGTTTCCAAGTGCCTAAAATGAAGCCGGACAAGTTCTCAAGCATCGGCTGTGTTTTGTAGATTACTGTCTCGCTTTTCCAAAAACAGAAGCATTCAATTTTGTGACATTAAAAACAACAAAATGACAGCCTTGGTATTGTGGTCATTTTCTTTCTATGATGTTACGATATTTAAGTTTTTTGTTGACATGGGAGTGTGGTTGTTGTCTAGACTAACCTTTTTTATCAAGTATCCTCTAACTTTGGGACAAATAAATCAGTTTAATACTCAATACTTAGTTATATTTTCTTGTTTTAATGATACTGGAATCTAAAACTTAACTGTCAATTACATAATCAAATACTATTCAAATGCACTTTCTTTTTTACCCTGAAATTGTTTCAAGTATTCTGTGGTAAGTGCTCAAGTACCACTGATTGGGAAGCACTGGTCTAGACAGCTGTGTTAAAGTGACAAACTTGTGGATAGGACCTGTTGAAATACATATACAGTGGGATTTGGTCAAACGTCTGCTAGGATCCATTACAATCTAAGGACATGAACCATAAGGAGTCTTTTGCTTAAGGTACAATGACCGCTCTTTCTTCTCTGATACTAAAGCTGTTCACAAAGGCTTGCCTGTTCTCCCACCCATGTTTGCAGTGGAAACCCCGCACTGATACTATGTCATGTCGTCTGAGTCAGGAACAAAAATATACCAGGATCAGCTCCATTGTAGAAGCAGCTCAGTGACAAAGGTGTAGAGCACGGGTCAGGGCTTTTTACCAAGCCATGAAAGGCTATTTGTGAGTTTGAACTACACAGAGTATGAGAGCATGGTAGGAAAGAAAGAAAAGAAAAGTTACAGGCTAGTAGCAGCAACTATTACCATTAGTAACTAGTATGATCAATTGTTATTAATGAATCTAAAGCCACGCAAAAACAACTATTTATACAGAAAAGTGTGATTTTAAATGCAAAAGGGCAGATTAAACTCATGATTTACTCACTCAGCCATCTTCCCTTTGCTGCTCTTGTCCCATACAAACCATTAAATCTACTAATTACACTAAATTAAATGACTAAGGACCTACAGCCCTAGACTGTTGATGTGAGTATGATTTTTATATATTGGATATAATTTCTTTTCTCTGCCTTCCAAATAGCTTGATGCATGTTAGTACATTTGTAACTAAACAAGCAAAAGTAACAAAACAACAAAATGTTATGGAAACATAAATATAAATGGTTAATTAGTTGGCTCACTGGAGCTTGATTTGGCCCAACTTCATTTCCACACTTCCACACTGTGACTGTGAGTGCACTGTGTGCCTGTAAAACAAAAATATAACATCACCCCAAAGTAAAGTGGAAACATGAGCTTATCTTTAAACCACTGATTAAGTAATCTTTCCTAGCAGCTGCCCTGACACACTGTATTTCTATGATGCATACATATGTGTGGGCTTATGTCAATGGGACCAGTGCAGAGCAGGGCGACCTGGTCAGATCTACATGTTTTAAATTAAACTGTCTTTAGGAGCACATGACTCTGAGGAGCTGACATCATTATCATGGTGCAAACAGGAAACACATGTCCCTGAGGTGAGAGGAGCAGACTGACAATACACTGCTACATAATCTTATTTTGTCGTCTTTTAGGGAACACAACAGAAATTTCAATTTTAATGTTTTATTTTGTTTTTTTTAGCAGTTATGGGCATTAGGCGGGTAATAATCTGCCCACTAGACATTGTTTGGATACCCTCTGTTTGTCCACTCTATCATTCATAACAGCTTTTAGCATAGTTACAAAGTTGACATACACATACATACAGTTAAACTAGAGGTCTTTGTGTGTGTATGAAATCCAGGCAGCACCAGAAGTAGGGCAGTGGTTAAACTTGTAATTATGCAAGCAACATATTTAATTAGTTACTTACAGTTATGTGAAATAAAATTGACTTTGAATGCTAGATAATGTTGATGCCATTACCTTTTATGATGTGTTTATAACTTGAGATAGTGCTGTAAAACAAAGTGATTTTTGTGTCTCATTAAAAGTAAAAGAGAAGTCATATTGGCTTCATGAGGAGTATGGGGTGGACTTCCTCAGGTGGACAGTATCTGGATGTACATGAGCTCCTAAAATAGCCCGCAAGAGAAATACTATCTGTTAGTATCTGTTCACTTCAAATGTCCACCAGTGTGTGTGTGTGTGTGTGTGTGTGTGTGTGTGTGTGGTGGGGGGGGTCTCACCGCAGCAGGTCCAGAGCGCGGCCGGAGACAGTCGCAGAGGCAGCAGAGGCAGCGGTGCAGAGGAGCATTCCTGACATTACAGCGCCATGACAAACAATCCTAACTTTATCCACAGCACCAGGCCAACTCAATGGCCACAGTGTGTTGAGTTTAACGGCAGAGAGGTGCCCTGATCCACTGGCCTCTCCCCGTCCAAGAGACACCTCTGCCAACTCAGGGCTTCACCCCATGGTTTGTAGGAACTATGTCATGTTCACGCACCAATGTCCATATCTTTTTTTAACAGCAATTTTTAACAGCAGCTGATACTTTGAGGTTGGCATCATCAACATTTCCAGGTAGTGAGATTCTAACTCTAGACACTACACATAATATTACAGTCATAACATTCTAGCATTAGCCAGACTTTTTTTCAGAACACTTGTATTGATCACAGGCTCCTGAAACTGTGTTGTTTAAATCCATTTTGTAATTTTTTTTAAGTTTTCAGAACTAAAAATGTATCAGGTGTTCCACTATGTTACTGCAGAACATTCTACCATTGACATGCAGAACACCCCCAGAGCGATGTCACTGCAAAGTATCAATACAAAATCAGTAATAACAAACACTACTTAAAACACATGACAAAAAGGTAGTTGGAAACTCTAAAGTTGTGATACAGGCTGCTGCTAAACAAAGGAAGACAATACGCCTGTGAATTTGAAGAGCTCTTTGGGATGTGGTACACAATAGAAAGTAGTATATAAAACCTGGAAATTATTGACTGTAATGTGTTGTAAGTTACATTAGAAAATCCACATTCTGTCAAATGAACATTCTGTTAAACATGACTTCTGCTATGATTTTTAGTTAAAATATTTATATTTAAGATAAAGCGTCTTCTTTTGAGAAGGCTGTATTTTGTCATGACCTTTTGAGAGTATGTGTCCTCTCTCTGTGTCACACCATAGGGGAAAGTCATATGGAGATACATTCCTTTGTGGGACAGGAAGTGGAGAGGGAAGCTCTGGTTGGGCTCCTGACAGTGCACAGAGGAGGCCCCAGGAGGATTCCCTGTGAGTCATGCTCGTGGACGGGGCCAGAGTTCGGATTAGGTTTGTTGACTTAAGACTCAGTGAAAGTCATTGTTCCACATTTTGAATTTCCCGAAAGTCTTACTTTTAGACCACAGTTGTCTCCTCCCACCTCCCCCCAGCACCTCCTCACACTCATGCACAAATGTAATACATCATTTTTATGTTTAATGTGATGCTGTTAGTTATATTAGATCAAATGTCAACTACACACTTGTATTTGTATTTATTTATTAAAATGTCAAAGCATATTAAAAGACAGAAAAAGATAATGTAAGAGACCAACATGTACTTGCAAATATGCAGGATTATAGCCAAAGCTAATTTCACTTCTTAGTCCCCTGCTGGACCAAGGCCTGTCACCCGCACTTAATTAAGCCTTAATTAAGCATGACCTAATTCACAAAGACCCAGTTCATAATGAATAAATAGTTTATTAAGATTGTTTCAGGCATAGTAATTACTGGAGTTAGGGTGATAACTTACTAGTTACTGTTCATTCATTTGTTCATGCTTTACTACAACTGATTATTATTTTACACTTATTATAAGTGTATTAATTGTTTAGTGTTACTGATTATCAAAACCATGTCAATTTAAATATAGACCAACATAAAGGCTGGTAAAAACTAAACTGCCTTGGCCGGATTGACTTGACCCTGGAGTGTAAACATGGAAAATCTTGTGGCTTTTTATTGGAGGTTTTAAAAGATGAATGTGACGCCATTTATAGTTTTAAAATCGTCTATTCCACACATGTCTTCTTCCAATATTTCTATTTTTCTCATATTTTATTATACATCTAAAACCGTAATAGAGAACTCGAGCCTTTTGTGTTGACTTTGGTTATCCGTGTGTGTGACTTGGCTATAACCACTGGTAAAATTTTGGTGTCTTTTTCCACTGATAAGAACATGTGAATATTGCCATGGCTTGATTCATAGACATTAGATTTCATAGTAGTCAGCCTTTCTAGTTTTAATGTGTCTACCAAAATATTATTTTTGCTATATTAAGAGACAATAAAAGAAAGAATGAAAGCAGCTAGTTCTACTTTATTATATATCCATATGTATTTCATCGCACAGACAATTTGGGAAAAACACTGACCTTAGTTCCATGTCCTGAGTATTACAGAACAATACTGTAGGGTTGTTAAAAAAACAAAATAAACAAAACTTTACTCAGATACTAATCAATACCAGAACTATTACTGAAACTAGTGACTTTAGTTACTATGTACTGAAAAAATAAATTAATAAAATAAAATAGGCAAAATCTGACCTTTCTTGAATTGTTTTAGAATGGTTTATATTTGTATTGGGAAAAATATCTAATTGTCTAAAATAGTGTGGTCTTTAAAATATGATCCAGTATCATGACAACATATACTGCTTTGTAAGTAGAGTCTAAACTAGCTATAAAACTAAATATTAAAACATACATAATCACTAATAATCATGTTTTTCACATTGACTTCAGGTCAGCTTTGTGGTTTGTGGCTGTCATTCATAAAAGCTTCCGACCTGAGGCTCTGTGTCCAAGCCAATACTGTGACCTTTGGCAGTAGCACAAATGATGTAACAACAGCCTGCTTACTACTGGGGCATCAGGGTATGCATACACTGCAGTTTGCCAATTCTGTTTGCTGTCTCCAAAAAGAGAATCTATACATTTTTAATAATTTGAATTGTAAAATAGTAAAAATATATTTTAGTTTCAAGTAGGTTTTACTTATGGATTTATTCATAGACATTGGTTGTTTGCCTTTTAACTTTTTAGACAGTACTTCTGGCTGTCAATCTTGTTTGTT